AAAAGACACTCAAACGGCTCCACAGTTTTCATCAGTTTTACAGAGCTCAATTTACTTTCAGTTCATTGTTTTGGTTTTCAGGCCAGAGACTTTACTGGTTTTGTTCAGTCTCACCACACTCAAAGAGCCATTTTCCGTTGAAGCAGGCGGCTCTTTTCAGGAAGAAAAAACTCAAAACACCCACAGACAGACACATTTACTAACTAGGCAGTGAACATAGTGGAGGATAACAACTAAAGAGACATATTTCCTTCACCAGTTGGTGGGGACAAAAAACTGCGCTAAAAGAGAGTAAATATTGGGTTATGTTTATCAGGTTAACACATGTGCAAATCCAAATTAATGGATGTGTAAATAAGCAGCTGTTTGCTAACACAGAATGTTAAATGTTGATAATATGTCACCGTTATGTTCACATCCTGTTTCTGCTGGCCAAAAAAGTTATATTATTTTTAACCTTCAAATACAAATGTGTTTGTCCTTTGGCAGCTGTTGGCTTAGCATCAGTGTGAAAGCCGCTAGAAGATACCCTCCCCCACATGGCTCACCTGTATGTCACTTCTTTTACCAAGTTTACCCGGAATGCATTTCATCCAATAGATTGCCTCCTCTGTAAAAGGTCACAGCGGACATGTGGAGAAGCTGTGGAGAGGAAGCGAGCTGGATGCTCTCTGAAATTTACTTACACCATATTGAAGTGACATCTGACGTGAGTTATTTAGGCACCACTGATGCTGGATCCCTTTCACTCTGAGTTTTGACAGCTGTTTAAATTATTCTCAAGATCATGTTTTAACCAAATATTTCAAATCATTGCAGAAATCATCTTATCTGTGTCAATCTATATAGGACATAAACTACTTTTCATGTTTTAGCTCATTAACTAAATAGATCTCCGTTTTCCAGAACCAAAATCTGAAAAAAATGGAAATCCATCACAGTCAACTTTTTGCTTTTTGTTCAGTGGTAAGTGACAAGTTATGAAATGTTAAGGAACCTGCTGACCATTAGTGCATTCATGTGCATCCTTGTCAGTTCCTTGTCAATTAAACAATGAGAAAGTTGTCAGAACAAAAGGTAATGTGAATTTGGTTGCTTCTTCATGTGTGGGTTATCATATGAGAATTGTATTTAAGCTTAGCTCTTATCCTGGCTCGCTTTCTTGCGGTGGCGTTTGGTCTGGCTGAGTAGTCAGAAGATGCCATTAGCAGTGATCGTTTCAAGGTCCCTGCACAAATAAAGGAACATTACAAATATTAATTTTATTCTAAATATCATCGTAATTTTGTTAAAAGCTAGCCTACCTACGCTGTTGGCTGTCTCCATTTGTCACATGAGCCTCGCCTTGCAAGTAAGGCAAGGCAAGTTTATCTATATAGCACATTTCAACAACAAGGTAATTCAAAGTGCTTTACATAAAACATAAAAGTAATATAAAAAATATTTAAAAAGTTTGAAAGTTAAATAGAAAATAAAAACAGGCAGGTCTCCCACCGTTGCTTATTTTACTTTGATTCCCCATCTCCCACACTATCCCCCCTTTAGTTACTTAGGGACTCTGACTCTAAGGGGACTCTAACCCTTTAACACTTAGGGACTCTAACCCTGAGGGGACTCTAACCCTTCCTTAGATACAGTCGTTACTGTAAATCCAGATTGTCCACGCTACAAACTCTGGTAAAAGCGGTTGACAGCGGGCCCTGTCAACAAGTTAACAGCGGACAAAACAGGGACTCTAATCCTTGTAATTCTACTCAGCTCTGTTAACTGAGGATCAGCCGTGTGAGATGGTAGAATCAAAAGAGCACTCTAAACTTTTTAAATAGTGTTAATATCTAAAAACAAAGAAAAAGAAACAGGACAGTAAAAAGTTACAATGCAGTGTAAGTTATCAATCTACTAGTTAAAGGCAGTGGCAAAAAGAGAAGCCTTAAATATTTAATTAAAAGCAATGGTAAAAAGAAAAATCTTCAGTCTTAATTTAAAAGAACTGACAGTTTCAGCAGACCTGCAGTTATCTGGGAGTTTGTTCCACATATACGGAGCATAATAACTGAACGCTGCTTCTCCTTGTTTAGTTTTGACTCTGGGGACAGAAAGCAGACCTGCCCTAGACGACCTGAGAGGTCTGGATGGTTCGTAACGAAGCAGAAGATCAGAAATGTATTTTGGCCCTAAACCATTTAGTGCTTTATAAACTAACAGCAGGATTTTTAAATCAATTCTTTGACATACAGGAAGCCAATGTAAAGACCTCAGAATTGGAGTGATGTGATCCACTTTTTTGGTCTTAGTGAGGACTCGAGCAGCAGCGTTCTGAATCAGCTGCAGCTGTCTGATGGATTTCTTACGGAGCCCTGTAAAGTCACCGTTACAGTAGTCAGGTCAACTGAAGATAAATGCATGGATAAGTTTTTCCAGGTCTTGCTGAGACATAAGTCCTTTAATCCTAGATATACTTCAGGTGATAGTAGGCTGACTTTGTAATTGTCTTAATGTGGCTCCTCAAATTCAGGTCTGAGTTCATGACTACACCAAGATTTGTGACTTGATTTGTAGTTCTTAACATTACAGATTGAAGCTGAGCACTGACTTTCAATCGTTCCTCCCTGGCTCCATAAACAATAACTTGAGTTTTATCTTTGTTTAACTGAAGAAAATTCTGGCACATCCAACCGTTGACCTGTTCAATAAAGTTAATCAGCACTTGTATGGGATCATAGTCCCCTGTTGAAATGGTTATGTAAATCTGTGTGTCATCTGCATAATTATGGTAACATATTTAGTTGTTTTTCATAATCTGAGCCAGTGGAAGCATGTAAATGCTAAAACAAAAGAGGGCCCAAAATGGAGCCTTGGGGAACTCCACATGTCATTTTTGTCAGCTCAGATGTGTGATTATCTATAGACACAATGTAGTCCCTGTCCTTTAAGTAGGATTCAAACCATTTTAGTACTGTGCCAGAAAGTCCAACCCAGTTTTCAAGTCTGTCTAGTAATATGTTGTGGTCGACCATGTCGAATGCAGCACTGAGATCCAATAATACTAGGACTGAAATTCTACCACTCTCAGGGTTTAAATGGATGTTTGAAGACCTTAACAAGAGCCGTCTCAGTGTTGTGGTGTGGTCGAAAACCTGACTGGAAGACATCAAAACAGTTATTTAGTGCCAAGAAAGCACTAAGCTGTTGAAAAACAGCCTTTTCAATGATTTTACTTAAAAATGGGAGATTTGATATGGGCCTATAATTGCTCATTAGTGACCAGTCTAGATTGCTCTTTTTTGAGAGTGGCTTAATGACCTTAAACCTGAGAGGAGAGACATGTTGACAATTTGTAGCAGATCTGAGCCCATGCATTTAGAAACATTTTTGAAAAAACCTGTTGGCAGAATATCAAGGCAGCATGAGGAGGATTTCAGATGTTGTATTATGTCCTCCAGGTTTTTATGGTTAATAGAATCAAATTGTCTCGTGCTAAATGAATTGTTTTTAAGTGGACATAGGGACAAGACATATCCTGTTACTGACATGGAGGCACTGATTGCTTGTCTAATTGTTTGAATTTTGTCTGTGAAGAAGGAGGCAAATTCATTGCAGGCCCTGGTGGATAGAAGGTCAGAGGCTACAGACACAGGAGGGCTGGTTTGCCTGTCGACAGTAGCAAACAGGGCACGTGCATTATTAGTGCTTTTGGTGATGATGTCAGAGAAGAAGGACCGTCTTGCATTTCTCCGTTCTAAATTATAAATGCAAAGTCTCTCTTTATAGATATCATAATGAACCTGGAGATTTGTTTTCCGCCACCTGCGTTCAGCTTTTCGACACTCTCTTTTTTGAGTTCTAACCAGCGTGGCATTTCTCCATGGAGATCTTCTCTTACTAGAGACCACCTTCACCTTGGCTGGTGCAATGGCATCAATAACATTTGTAATTTTAGAATTGAAATTATCTACAAGCTCATTGACTGAGACCCGTGAGAGGGCATGTATCGAGGAGAAAGCCTCAATAGAGTTTTCACTAGTGTTAGTGGGGTAGGGGTCCATCAGCTGATTACACTTCTGCTCATGGTAAAGGTAAGCTGAGCTACACTGGAATTACACAAAGTGTGTTAATTATAAGTTTAAAGGTGTGCTTTTGCTTTCCTAAACAGGTTTAAAAAAGCTAGAATTGTATGTATACACTAGAGTGCTGATTAGAGCCTTTAAGAGCAGCACTTGCAACTCCATGTTTTGAAAGGGGCTATTTATATACATAAATATATAAAATATATATAAAGCTCTATAAATAAAGTTATTGCTCTATAACATTGCTAGATGCTTTCCCTACAAACATTTTTGTTTTCTGAATCAGTAAAATGTAGTTTTTGCAGGCACAAAGCTTAAGAAGTGCTGACTAAAGTGAGGATTGCCAGCGCTGACGCTTATGTGTCAAGCTCAAACACTGGCCTGCAGTTTTGACTTAGCCCTCATTACTACAGAGTTTGTCTGGAGCTGATCCGCTCTAATCCACTGCTTTGATGTGATGTGCATGTATCTCCACTTGCATTATCATGACACACTCTCACTCTCTGATTTTGGGAAACAAACTGGAGACATTCCTGAATTTGGCAACAAATACCTAACAAGTGTGTCTGTGTGAGTGTATTTCTATACAGAGAACCATTTGAGTTTTAAAAAAAAAACAAGACTAAAAGTCAGCATAAAAGTTTTGGTATGAACAACATAGTGCTGATTTTATTATTTGTAGAGACCTACTAAGTTTGTCCTGAGGGTGCAGTTACAATGTTGATGCATGGTAAGGCTGTAACTTGTTATTTGTAACTGGAGCTACCGTTCGAGCTTGAGAAAATGTGTCTGTAAAGTCTGTAATCATTTGTTTCTCAATGTATGAGCGCAACATGTCGTGCCTTGAACTCCAGTGCGGGACATTCATAAAATGCATCATCACTCCAATCTATTTCATGCCTTGTTGCACAGTAAACTAAGCTATTTAAATTGTAGGGAATCAAGCCCTGTTAAATGGATAATCATGATGACTCCAAACCATCTGAGAAGTAATATGGGGAAACATTTGGGATTCATTACCATAGATGGAAAAATTGTGGATGAATGGACAGCTGTTTCTAAATGATTTTTCCATTGGAAATAATGTCATTGCTCCTGCACTCCTGCTGTCCTGTTAACATGACAAGAGGTCACCTGTGTTATTATTCATGTATAAATATAAAATCTGGGCTTTACTGTTAAGATGGAACTCATTTGGAACTTTTGAAAAACTGCTGGATTAAAGCTGGGGTAGGCAATATATTACTGAAGCATTTTTTTATTATATTTGTTGAAATTCTCTTTGTATCGGACCAAATTAATTTATTGGTTGGCCTACCTGCCTGTTTACCTGCACACACACTGCCCATATACTCATTGAGCATGAAAATGTGTTTTTGGGCAGTGGTTTGGAGGGCTGAAGAGATGGGGGTGGGAATTTTTCTGTTGGATACTTTCAAAATCTAGCTGTCTCTTGCTGTCTGTCTCAAGCTTTTCATATGATATGTGTGCAGAAATCTTAATTAATGCAAGTAACTAAAGCTGTCAAACAATTTGAAATTTAACTTAATTAAATCTCACTTAAAAAAATACAATATTTCCCTCTGAAGTGGAGTGGAGTTGAAGTAGAAAGTGCCATGGCCTCCACCTCTGCATACCTTTTCTCTTTATGTTGATGTGACTGTGATTACTCAAGCAGAGTCAGGTGTGTCAGTCCTGAGTTGAACCTCACCAGCTGCCTCCCATTCTGCAATCAATTCTCCTTCAATAACCCTGAACGGCCACTCTCACGCTGCCAGATCGTAGCTCATGCTGAGTCAGTTTTCGTTTCTAGCCTCTAGTTCTAGCGATTGTTACCTTTGAATCTTCTCTAACCATGTTTCTGCTCTCCCTGCAGTTCTGTCTCCAACAGTTAACCTGTTGGTTTTGCCTCTCAGCTCTGGACTCAGCTTGGCTCTGCTAATCACTGGGCCCTGCTCTGGCACACACCACTTCTGGCTTTTCCCCTGTCCGGATTCCCAAATCACCCCCTTGGATCAACTTCACTCCCTGCTCACATTATTATGGTTATAAATAAATCATCTTACAAAATATACTCCTGCCTCCATGTGTCTAGCGCTTGAGTTCACCAGCTCCACCGTAACAGAAAATGGCATGAAAAGAAAAAGAACAAGTACCTCAAATGAGAACTTATGTAACCTATGAGTCTATGTTTATACTATACTAAAATTATTTGTATACTCATCTGGTGATCCACTCACATACATTAGTATTGACCATTTTGAACATCTAGTGGTTGTAAAGATGTTTATAATTCTAAAGTTGTTTAAATAAAGTATTCAGGGTTTTTTTTTGTTTGTTCTTTTTATTGTTGTTGCTCTTTGCTTATGGGTGTGTGTTTGTCTGGACGATGTCAAAAGGATAATTGTATTTCTTTATTTTCTCAGTGTTTTGTTGTTATGGTTGTGATAAATGTTAGGACCCCATTGAAAATGAGATGGTGCATCTCAAGGGGTTTATCCTAATAAATAAATTTGAATATAATGTATATAGTTAAATTACCACTTTTTCTTAGCTTTTCACTCAGTGGAGGCTAATAAATCATCAATCCAGTGTTGCAAAATAAGTGATCAACAAAGGGTCACAATTTTTCACTTTCTGCTAAGCTAGCAGCAAAGGTTTTCTGCAATATGAATGTTGATAAGTATTAATAAAGGTGGTTTATGGTAACCCATCAAGTCTGCAGTTGTAAAACTTAATAATTTGTTAATGATGGACTGTGGTCCAGATGTTCTGCACTTGTTTTCCAGAAAATAAGTGGTCAAACAAAGACAGAGCAAGTATTATGCTAAAGAAACACCAGCCAATGGGAATATCTACAACCTGGTAACCCGTATGTTTTTCCTAATAATAGCTTATAACTATCCTATAAAGCAATGTGAAATTACAGTGTATAACTCTTTGTAATAGCACCGTATTAGAAAGTGGTGCCCTTCATTTTGATTTACTGACTTAAATGTTCCTCCAACGTTAGCATGGGATCTGATCAGCTGATGCAACACTGCACCAAATGGCAGCTTGACTAAAACTACAGCAGCCTCAACAATCTCCCCTCTTTATTTTTTGCTTGTTTAATGTAACAGAACAGCTGGAGATCATAAAGTCTACATTAATCTTTTTTGCAAACAAAGAGCAGCAGAGTTGGTTGGGGGCAACAAACACATGGTCAGGATTGTTTGTTTTCTACATGTCATCAATTACAGAATGATAAGAGAAGTTCAAAAGAACAGCTCATGGTTATTATTCCTTTTATTAGGCGTCAATTATATATACTATATATAGGCCTATCACCAAATCATAACAGAAGTTATTTTGGGGCATTTGTCATCTAGACCAAACTCTTTAAAATATTATTTACAGAGACCTAGTAATTCCCACCATGAGCAAGCACTTGGCGACAGTGGCAAGGAAAAACTGTCAACACCTCAAGTAGAACCAGTCTCGGTGGCCATATCATGACAAATGTCACCATTTCAAACCTAATATAAAGTTAGGGATTTTGCCATCTCAGTTCATAACACCACAGTCAGTGAGTCTGTCTCATGTGATGTGTGAATTTACTGCCCTCTGCTGATCATTTTGGCTTTACAGCACATTAGAAACCTAAAATAAATGGTAAATAAAGTTAAAAAATATTAGAGAATGATGTTCAGAGTGCTGAGAATGTGACATTCATTTCATGGTCAGCATAATAATTTACATTTTCATGTATTTTTTAATAATAAAATATAGTAATGATATACAGAATGGAGACATCTTTAACCTGACCCTGTGTGTGGTTCCAGAATGTTTTAAGAAAACCACTATAGCCCCTGTACCTAAGAAACACCTGTCACTTGCCTAAAAAAATATATTTTTTTTTTTTTATTATAGAGCACCTTTCAGAATCCATGTTACAAAGTGCTTCACAAAGGCAGGAAAAAAACAGATTTTAAATGGAAAAAGATTTTTAAAAATTATTTAAAATACAGCTTAAAGGAAAATTAAAGGAAAATATAATCAGGAAATGCTTGAAATGACTAATGTCCCACTGCCTTGACCTCTGCCTACCTACTGTCCTATTACAGTTTGGCTACTGTTCCACTAGATCTGTAGATTATGCCGTCTAACTTTCTCTGCAAGACAAATACTGACATGAGAATGATGTTTATTGACTATAGCTCTGCTTCTAATACAATTGTACCATCCAAACTGGTGTTAAAACTTAGAGGTCTTGGTCTTGGCAACTCGGTCTTTTGATTTCTTTTTTGACAGGAAGGCCCCAGACTGTGAGTATTGGTAATGCATATTCATCTACAATAACTCTTAGGACTGGTGTGCCAAAAAGATGCTGTCTGACTCCCCAACTGTACAGCCTATTTACACACAACTGTGTTGCCAAATATGACAATAACACTATAAAATTTGCTTTGTAGCTGTTACATTGATGAGAGGGACTATAGGAGCGAAGTGGAAGACCTAGACAAGAAAACAAGAGGGAATTACACACTACTTTTTCCCTCAGCAGGTCATATATGTTGAAATTATTGCCAGCTTTACCTTTTTGGGCACACAGACACACTCACATAGTCCCTCAACACAAAGGGCATCCTCAAGAAGGCACAGCAAAGGTCATTATGGGAGCCGAAATTTATACTAACCTCTAGCATAGGACTGTAAAAAACTAAAAAGAACTGTAAAGACAGCATAACCATTGCACAAAATTACAACAACTCCAGGACATTTACACTCCCTGCAAAAAGAAAGCCCATAACATCATTAAGGACATCAGTCATCCTGCTCATGGACCGTTGTTGCTGCTTCCTTACTTCTAACTTAGCTAATGTCATGAGCATCAACCTGTCTCCCACATGCACCGATCACCTTTGTAAATAGTATTGTTACATGTGTGTGCATGTGTGGATATACAGTATGGTTATGTGAGATATAAGTATTACTAGTATGTGGGCTGTGAGGGCTGTGAAATATTGTATGGATGGTCTGTATTTATTTATGTGCACAAAAGATGAGAGCTGGGGCACAAGTCACTGTATTGTACATGTGACAATAAAACTGAACATGAAACGTCTGCGTAATGAGTTACGCTTGATACATTTAGCTGAAAATACTTCTGTACTTTTAGCTAAGTAACAATATTTTTGTTAGTACTGTTTCTGCTTAAGTAAAGGATCTGAATATTTCTTCTACCACTGCTTCACACAATGTTTGATGGAGAGCTGACATTCAGACAGCGCAGAAACACCACAGCAGGGAGCTCTTAACACCTGAGGTGTAGACAACAAGAAACAAAAAACAGTCACCTAAAATTTTAGCTGACAGTTTTTATTGTGGTCTCAAAAAGTACAGCACAGACAAATGAAGCACGCTATTACAATATCTAGAAGTACTCTAGGAAGAATACAGAATGCCATATAAGTAATAGTGAAAATATCGTCATGCAGATTGTGTTTTCTTTTAGGCAGTTTCAAAGCAGAATATACAGCAGCATGTATTTAACTTCATCTACAGTATTATCGGACACATTGGCCCTTTATCTCCTAATACCACAAATGACTGATTTATTATCATATAGGAAACTGTATTTTTATTTTTACAATAGTGCAAAGCTGACCATAGCAAAGCAAAACAAATTGCAAGCAGGAGATGAAACCAGCACAGACATTCACTGAAGTAAATAGCTGCATAATACTGACAAAAAGCATTAACGTTCACTTCAATGGGACAAATATATTCAATACTATTAAAACACAATCAACAGTGCAAGCATGGCAGTAAAATAATATTGTACATTTGTCAGAGCTGTCAGCATCACGCACGATGTGAATGCTCGTGAATGTTAAATACAGTGGTCATGTTTTCAAGTGAAGCAACACTGATGTGAAGAAGCACACAGGTGTGTCGGATTTGGGCTTTTGTTGATTTGTTTGTTGAAAACTAAAAGTATGACTCAGAGCTGAGATAATAATCAAACTGATGCTCCATAGACAATAGACAGAATTGGATGTTTCTCCTGTCTTTTTGAATGGAGGGTCATCTACTGCAGTGGTTCCCAACTGGGGGGTCGGGACAAATCTAAGGGTTCACAAGATGATTTACAAGACAGGAAAGCAGGAAAAAACATGTAAACTGTATCAGATTTCCCTCTAATCTTTTCTTTTATCTAGTGAAAAACACATCCATTTTACCTCTAAAATGGGGGGGGGTCACTCTTTTGTCATGACTGGTGTCAGCATGCTTTCGACAGTAGGGAGCTGATAGTGACATGTAAGAATACCATATTAATAAAAAGTAATTTCTCAAAGACCATTTGTACAGTATGGAGCTCTTGTTCTTGTGTGATTGGTAAGTGTGACAGTGACAGCTCTGTAGCTGGTGCGTTGACTGGCTGGTCAACGCCTCAATCTTTAGCATTTCACATTTTGCCTGTCAACTGTCTACTGTATTAGTAAGAATCACCTCTTTCATTATCTATAGAGCAGTTCTACATTTAAATGTATTTCTCTGGTTGTTGCGTTTGGAAGTGATAATAAGAGATGCTTCTTATAGCTGCTATGTGTAGCATTTTTAGGTAAGACCACATTCATGCACTACATTTCCCATAAAACCCATTGCTTCCTTTCACATGTCCCTGTCCACGGTGTCTTTGGCTTCATTAAAAGACATTTTAAAATGCAACGGAGCAACCGGCAGGCTTATAGGGCCGTTTGTTTACAGTACTTACTAATGTCTAAAAATTAAAGTGGTAATATTTAACCTCTATTAAAGGCTACATGTAGCAGCTATGCACTGATTAGCATTTCAGCTCTGAGTTAGAAAATAAAAGAAATACTTAGGCACACATGGTGCAAATCAATACACTTAAAGAAATGTGCAGTGAAATGAATGTAAATTATTGCTTTGGCTGATACAACAGTGGACACAGTGTCACATTCAGTGAATTAAAAGAGAATCAAACAATCGTGAATGTGAGCATGTGAGGAACATTCATAACAGAATCATTGCATGGGGTCAAATCAAAGGCAAAAACTTTGCAAACCTGTTTAAAATGTTCATAAAATATTTTTCTGGATGTAAATACGTCTGAGGAAATAAAACAGTTTTCAAAATTGCAAGAGAAGGAGCTCTTTTAGTATCCAAAAATGAAAAACAGTGTTGGATAATGCTACACATTCAAAATGTGTATCTTATATTTATGAACATCATTTCGCAGGTTTACAAAACTTACATTTGAGCTCACAAGAAGCAAACTACTGCTGTGATTGAAAGTTCTCCACATTCGATATTTTGGCAAGGAGAAGTCTTAGGTGTAAATGTCATGTTGACATAAAAAGTACAATACAATCTATATCAATGACCTAATACAGACAAAGTTACAGTAAGAGATGGACTGGCCTTATACAGTATAGACTGATTTATTTTGATTGAATCAGTGCCAGCAACATTTCTTTTATGCTTCAATAAATCTTTTAAACCTACATTATATATCTATAGTTATATAATACAAAATATTGTTTTGACAGATTTGAGTTGTCTGAAAGCTCGACCAGCTAATTGCCAAAATATTCAGAACTGATTATCACTACTTTGCAATCTAAAAGGGATTTTTGGCTGAGAAAGTAAATTTGGTTTCTTATGAGAATAAGCACAGGGTTCATAACTGAGGTGTAACGGCTGTGATACAATCATCATGAATCATTAAAGCAACAGATAATGATGAGTCGGTGATGGTGTGGTGCAGCCTCCTCATACACAGCTACAATCGCTATGGTCATCTCTGATGCTGGTGGTCTAACGCTGCAGTGAGGGCGTAGAGGCAGTGTGTGTGTAGATGTGTTTGTGTGTGTGCAGTGGCTGAGTGAGCTTTTGGCAGTGATGTGACATGATGTTAGCTGGGACAAGGTGGGCTGAGCGTAGAAGGAAGAGAGTCTCCCCAGATGTCTCCAGCAGTTTGAGGAACCATATATGTGAGGGTAAAGGGATTTCTGATTTCTGATTTTTAGTTGACCAGACATCCAGGGGAGACCTCTGTGGGAATAAGAGGGTTTCAGTGAGGGCGGGGCGGGGGGTCACAGGTCAGGGGTGTGTGTGTTTAGAGGTTGACCAGGTGGAGGTTGGAGGCAGAGAAGTGGGGGCACAGAGCCATGTCTGGGTTCTTTAGCTGTCGCAGGATCCTCCGGTGGAACTTGGAGCGGACCCGGTTGAACTCCATGATGTCGCTAGGATCCTCCTCGATCCAGAAACGGTGAAACTCCTGCATTAAGTAACCTGTCGTAAGAAAAACGAAAGTTTACCCTTTATGTTCTTGTAGCATTGAGTAGCTGGATGTGTAAATAAACCATCAAATCAACTTCAATATGCCAGTGTTGCCAGCTTGTTCTCAGCGCATTTGTTAATGCAAACTTAAGCTTCATTAACAGAGTTTGTGGCCACCAGGAGGCAGCAAATCAAGCTGAAAACCAAACATCTGACATCCGGTATATACTGTATCTCTGACCATACACAGTTATGGCAAGTCTAGCAGATACTGTGCAACATTAGCATTAATTTGGAGTTGTGTTTCTGGCCACCTAATTCTAATCTTATATTCATTTTTCTTTAAGCTCTGTTTTTGGTCTCTACTAACTCCTGAGAAAAATTTCTACCATTGTCCTTCTGCTGTTTGGTGCTTTGCAGAACAATACATTCTAAAGAAATATTTATTTTAAAATTTAAATTGAAACCTAAGAGCTGTGTTGACAATTTGGATCTAGTTCATTGAATTAATTTCAGCATTCAATCTTTCTTGTCAAATCTGTCAACTTCTTACAAGCTTTAAGTCTGACAGAGGACATGTCCTTACTTTAATGGGGAAAATTATAGGTAAAGCAAAACAGGACAATATTTGCAACATATATATATAAAGTATAAGCAAAACAAACAAATGTTGTATTCTTGATTAATTTCTGGTCCTGCGGGGGGGGGAATCTTCAAGGTAACATATATCCAGATATCAATCAATCAATCCAAGTGAACAAAAAGTGCTGTACAGTAAAACAATAAATGAATACATAAAAGACACTAAAGACAAAGCTCACACAACGCAAAAAATACAAATAAAAACAATACAATAAAACAACCATACAATAAAACAATAAAATCAATACAACTAAAACAAGAAATGTCAACTTCAGTTTTCAAAGGCCAGAGAAAAGAGGTGGGTTTTAAGAAGAGACTTAAAAACAGACAGTGAAGATGCCTGTCTAATGTGCAGAGGTAGATCGTTCCACAGTTTAGGAGCTGCTACAGCAAAAGCTCGTTCCCCTCTGTGCTAATATGACAGATATATCAACTGAACTCACAGAAGGTCTGCTGGAAGTGCAGCAGGCTGGGCATCTCTGGGGCCACGTTGTACAGGTGAGTCTTCAGGGCTCCACTCACCAGCAGAGAGTAGGCCAGGTCTGTGATGTTGATGCCCACAATGGCAAAAGAGTAGCTTGAGGGAAGTGATAAAAATACTGGCATTAGTTTGCAGAAAGCAGTTTTTTTTTTTTTGTTTGATGGTTTTACGCAGGAGGTGTGGGTGATGTTGATTTTAAAACAGCCTTTAATGACCAGAATTTTCCATAAGCCCTAGGTTTTCAAGAGCTAAACGTCCCAGCTAAACAAAAGAATCCATGAGTGAGTCAAGTGCATTCAGACATGACAGAGAGGACGGAATAGTGAGCAATGTTTTAGAAAACAGCGATTACAGCTGGAAATATGACTTAAGAAGAGGGTGTTGGTGACTCATGTTTTTCTGATGTTTTTTTATGTGAAGTGAGCTGTGGCACTGTGCCCATATACTATATACTATACTCTGCTAACATTGTGGATATGGGTGAAATCATGCTTCTGAAAGGCCAATTTTGTTCAAGCAAATCCCAGGAACACTTAGAGTTGCTAAGAGTGTTAAAATCAAGTTTCCTGAAAAATCTGTTGTATTAAAACATCTTTAAAAAGTTAATAATTACAAATATCCTTAACATCTATATCGCATCAAAAGTGAAAATACCGTATTAGTGTCCAACAGCCAGTTTTTGTAAAGGTCTACCTCAGTACTTTCAATTCATGGCAAAGTACACGTGATCCGTGAAACCTGTGGAAGAATTGTAGCTGCATACCAACCATGAACTATCTCTTCCGTATAGACACTGTACAGCTATCAGACTGCAGTAAATAACTTAATTTACAGCTTGCTGCTCGGCTGGAGTGTCCTCACAATACTGTGTGGGTTTAAAAGGATTTAATGTGACTGTGTTTGTTTTTAGAGTCAGTCCTTGGTGCTTATCAGAGCCTATGCAGACTGGAGGCAGAAGGCAGGGCAGCAGGACACACAGCAATGAAACACTTCCTGCCAATTAACACACACAGTCTCTCCTGCTTGCATATACACACTCGATGGCCACATCATGGAGCCCCACTGCTAAAACTGCTCTGAATTTAGGCCAAAACTCATACAGCTCCAGCAGCAGTAGCATAGTTTTTCCTGCCTCCATACACACACGTGCATGCCACCATACAGTACATGTGCAGACACTTACCCAATAGCTTTGTCTAGGTTCTTCTGTTCCCATTCAGGCTTGTTTATCTCACTGCGAAGGACACACATTAGAGTCATGTACCGTCTATGTGTGAAAAACTCACTGCACCACAATGTGGATAAAAACAAAACCTAGTGAGAAGTCTTAAAGTCACAATAAAATAACATGTTATGAGCTTGCTTTTTAAACTGATGCATTTCTTGTGAAAAATGTCACGGCATGACTGTAACGGATTGTTAAAAAGTATAAAAATTAAAACATGGGTAGTGATGGTCTTTTTTTTTTTATTGTCTGTATCACATTACAGTTCAGCAGTGTCAAAGTCAAGTCCTCACATATTGAGTCAAAGAGGCTTTGATCTGAGGTCCGGTCCAAATTAAAAAATGTAAAATCTACTAATAGTAATTTGTAATATGACTCTAAACTGCATGTTTAACTTATTTAAGCTGTTTCGAATCTAAATATGCACACTATCCCATAAAAAGTGTGTAAAAAAGTGAAAGTACAGTTTCTTACAATTTCTAAGACTATTACTATAGGTTTTTTTTTCTTATTTATTCGAATGTTGCAGTCAACAACTAAAAAACAAACACTACAGTTCCATATTTTATAAAATGCCACTGACAAGCAAAGGGAAAGTTCAAGTCAAGAGTATTAAAGTCAAGAAATGAATCATAACTGATCTTGCTTCATTTACAGTAATAAGATTTTGATCTAAAATACATTGAAAATGAATAAAAGGTGAACAAGGTGAATATAATTACATGAAACTTTAGCTAACAAAAGGCAAAAGTTGTTTCTCAGTTTGAATTTAAGTTTGTACCTGTAATCTGTTTTATAGGTGATTGTGTACATTGTGAAATGTTTTGTTTGTTAAAACTACATAATGCAACTTTGTTTGAGGGCTTGATTTCTACTAATCATCTGCCATTGTGCCAATCATATACATGTAAATCAAATATTAATTGTAGCTAATGCTTGTTTCCATTAAAGTATTACATAAAAAACAAACAACAATGTGTTTATCCGTCTTTCAATATTTTCTGCCTTCTCTACCCTGTCTGTTCCCCTCAGCTCCATGTCCATTTGTTCCTACTGAAGAAATAAATCTATAAAAATGGGTCAGAAATGGATATTTCCAGAGGGGTTTTCCCCTAAATTTCCTAATGTTGAAACAGTACTGTCTCTATTCATGTGACTGGGATATTGTTCTCAATTTCAGCCCTATACCGTGTTGTAGGCTGATGAGACAGCTAGGTGTTGTATATAATATATATTAATATATATAAATCATGCTTAGTGCAGCTTTAAATGCATGAAACATCAACCCAAAAGAGAAAGCTATGAATGCAGTGCAAAGAATGAAAGTGAAATAAAGTACCTTGACTTTCTGTGTGTGCTCCTACAGTGCATGTGAGAGTCAGAGAGGGAGGCATGGGCAGAAAGGTGGAGGTGGAGGTGAAGGAAGGAAAAAGAAGAAGAATCTTCATTTGTGAAATGAGACAGCTCACTGTGATGCCGATGACAAACAATACAAGCAGCAGCGGTCAATAAAAGATGACGCAGAGAATGACATCAGGCTGTAGGAATGAATATAATCAAGCAGAATGAGGTAAATGCAGAATTATGGATGACTGAGTGCAGTTTAAATTTGGAGGCATACACCACATCTGGTAGAAATTAATAATTGTTTCGGCCACAAGGGGTAGCGGAGCAAGCTGAAAAAACAATAATAATTGTTTGTTATTGCCTTATAAAGTTGCTATTGTGAACTTGTTAGCAAAGAGATGTCTGTTTATACATCCATTCATTCAGAGTCATGTTTTAGGCCACCTGTTGAATTAGTCCAACATTCAGTGTCCATTTGGCTCGATTTTGGTCTCCACCCATTCCTGCAAAAACAAAACTGGCCCTTTAGCAGCTTAATGCTCCACTATGTTCACCAGCTAGTTGTTAACGTTGCCTTTCTGCTGTTTGGTGCTGGGGAGATAGTGTACAGTTGGGTTATTAGAGCTTTATTGTTCAAAACAGCTGCAAGGTTAATGGGGTTTGTGGGCCAGAAAACCAAAACAAGGACATAAAAGAAAACGACACTTAAAGCTGAGTGCTCCACTATTAGTGTATCAAAAATGAATTGTTGCAGCAAGTAGTGAGAACAGTGACAATATGATGGTAAGTGACAGGCCCTTGTGTTTCTTGATAATGTTTCAGCAAAATATAATAAAGCTAAATGGAATCCACTGGGGGACAAAACAAGATTTTTATTTCCTGATTGATGCTATAAATGATCGTTTCATAAGGACAACTACAACATACTGTGTTTATTACAGCCTGTAGTCAGCACTTGTTTCAAGATATGGAGGTGGAATGGAAGACCAGAGATTAGATTAGGTCAGCTGATGTGGGATCGCGGGTAGACTTGACAAGTGACCTTATGACATGACATCGTTTCACTGCAAATTTGACAAGTGGCTTGAAGAATTTCTCCCTTTCTGTTTCTAGGGATCACTTTCACCGTTTGTTTGAAGCTGCCAGAGGACGAGTGCAGAGCTTGATATGATTACTGTAGTGTCTTTTTATGTTAATTTCTGTATTGTGTCTGATGCACTTTGCCGATTTAATAGACCTGCCACTGAGTGGCTTTCAATCTGCTTTATTATTGGACATTATGGCTGCTGGTGATCAGCGTCGGCTGACTGGGAGGGGGGCAGTATAATTTCCATTATTTTATGGAAGAATACGTAAAATCTCAGCCATTTAAAGTCATCATGTGTTCTACCGTTCTACTTAAAGTTAGTTTTAGCTGTACATTCTTTCTAAGTACCAAAAAGCTATGTGCATTTTACCAGTTTCAGTTTCTTACCAAGTAGCTTTACATCTGCTAAAAATTCACATTTCCCCAGTTTTGGGTCCTGAAAACACACCGTCAGCCAGAGAGACTTTCTACCAAAACACTGTATTCCTTTAATTGTATCATGCTTTGGTAAAAGTTGTGAAAAAGAGGGCTGCCATACTTGTGCTTTGGTTGCAGGGAGTCGTGGAGCATCTGGAGAGCAGTAGCCTTGTCATGTTCTGCAAAATACCTGCAGAGACGAGAGAAGCCAGTTCATAGGGAGCTATTGTCTCACTGCGGATTTTTTGTATAAATAATTTCCAGTTCTTCCAAAGGACTTGAGCATGTAAAAGTCCAAATGTAAAAACTATTGTGTCTTATCTATTAAAGTATAATCTGTTAGAGAGCTCACAGCAGGTTGTGCAGGCCAAGTAGGCCCATCCCTCTGAAATCAGTCTTGGGATCGCTGCCTTGGAAACCAATCTCACACCACTGTTTAGAGATGCGTCCGGTGAGAGGTGTGTCAGGACGCAGCTCCTTCCATAGCTGCAACACACACACAAAAACACAAACACACACCACACCTTAGTACAGATAATAGATTACATTTGTAAATGATGAATGGGGCTGCATGGTGCAATTATCTACCTGTACAGTAAAGTCAATACTAATATTATACCTACATACAGTATAGTACCTTTCTGAGTATATAAATATTTTAATGATGACTTAGAAAGCATAACTTGACATTTTGGGAAATATGCATATTTGCTTTCTTGACAACAGATAAAAGGGTGATACCACTCCCATGTGTGTCCGCTCAATATGAAGCTCCAGCCAGCAGCCGATAAACAGCCACTAAAAAGCTAAAAACGTGGATAAACAGTTGAAATAGAATGCTAAAAGTAATGGATAAACTACTTGAGTAGGGGTATGTCTGACAAAAAAGCATGTGTTATTGTGCCAGGGGCTGTGGGCAGCTGGAGCCTGCTTCAGATGCGAAATAGACCACAGCTCTCTAGTGAATCAATGAGAAAGCCACAGAGAGCTGTGTACCTTCATCAGCATGTCCTCGTGCTCGGCGTTTTCACAGTCATAAGGCTCCCTGCGCAGCTTCTCCACTTCCGCCACCAGGCTCCTGTAGCCCACAATCTGCAGCAGGCTGGCCTGAAGAGAGATGCCCAGCCTGGGGACACATAGGAAGAGGAAAGGCTGTTTGTATAAGGGATACCAGATCTATTAATTCAGTGAACTGCTGTGTACAAGCACAGTCTGAGCCTCTTATCAGCTCAGTTTGAGCATGCAGGGGTTCAGTGCCTTGCTCAGCTCAGCTTACATTGCTGAGGATGAAGAAGGTGTTTATTCACTGTCCACAGCCACACCTTCAAAGCTCATCTGAGGATTAAATGTGTTGACATTCCAGTGATAACCTGTAATTTACCACAACACTCTAAGATCAGGGAAAAAGTAATCGAAATGTGATATAAAATTTTAGCATCTCACTGTGGGTTGGTGTCAGGGTTAATCTTCTTCAAGGCCATGATGTCGTCAATGGTTTTATCCACTTTATCAGGATGGACGCTGAGGGCAGACTGCAGCAGCTAGAGAAGACAAGAGCAGACAGAAAGAAGGCAAAAAACAAAAAGGGACAGAAGAAGGAGGAGAAAGTGGATGTAAACAGATTGAAGCTACAAAATTGAGCGACACATCTGTATTATGTTGGACAAATACTGAGCATACAGCATATTCATAGATTTAGAGACCCGTACCTCATTCTTGGAGTACCTCAGAGATGCCTCTGAAAGGAAATGGTTGCAAAGTTTAGGACAACTGCATTCAGTAATATTAAAGCGCTATTTAGTAGCTTCAAATATATATTTTTTGAATATAGTTCAAAGCCGATACAAACATTTATTTACTGGGTTTAAGAGGTGAAAACTGTTATTTGTCCAAGGACAGGACAATCAATATTAACAATATATGTTTATTAAATACAAATTAAAAAATGCTATTAGATATGAACAATGTGACGTCCTCCATCTATCTAAAGCTGTTTTAAAATGATAGTTGGTTTATACATAGATAAACTAAATAAACTACATTTACAGACAAATGTCAGGCAGCGTGCAGGCAGTGTGCGGACCTACCTATCTTGAGGGTCCTGCGGGCTCCATGCTTGTTGTTGTAGCAGATTCGCTGCAGTTCACAGCGCCCTGTGAACTTTCTGGCGACAAACTTCAGGCCCCGCCAGAGACATTTACAGTAGAGGAACACAAAGAACTGGGTCACCACTCTGGAGAGGCAAAGACAGGAGGGATTAGACTGACAGATGTCGTAAAAGTACTTTAGTATTGAGAGAGCTGATTTTTGGTTTAGAGCCACATGTCTTCTCATGGGCTCTCTTCACAGTTTGCATGTCTGTAAACTGTGAGTGGTAAAGAGAGTTTTTGTCAGATTGTTTCACTTGAATTTGTTCATTAGAGTTCAGTATTTCACAAAGAAGCTTTGTGCAATTTATTTCTTGTTAATCATTTTTGTTAACCACCTCTCTAATTTATCTTTTGAGCACTAGGGAGATGTTGGCCCACCAGTAGGGGATCACCGATGGTTAGACCACATCATGTATACACAAAGCTGTTACTTGTAAAAGCTTCTTTTTTTCTAAAACATGCATGTGTAAAACTAATTTTCTACTTATAGGTAATTTTACACATTAAGTTTACTCGTCACATGGAGTCTGTGAAAACAATTGTAAAATTATAAACACAATTATACGAAAATAACCCTGATGGTGTCATCAGTTGAGGCAGGGGGTGTCCTATAATTATAGACTGTATGACAATATGCTACTGAGTTGCATTATGGGAAATGTAGGATCCTGTATTTTTAGAGCTGGATCCATACCTGTGACTAACAGTCAGGAAATATTTTCTTCTGCTGATTTTATTTTGACCATTCCTTTTTAATCTGTTTCTCATGAGTCCCCCAATTTTATGGAAGCGCAATACTACATAATACATTATTTAAAATTTATTTTTATGCTGTGCTTTTACTTTTTATTTATTTTTTTGTTTTTTATTGCACTTTACATCTGTTGGTTTATTATCCTATGTGAAGCACTTTCAAACTTGTTTTTGAAAAGTGCTATGTAAAGTTATTATTATTTTTAATAAATTGCAGAGTACCTATTTAAAAGTTTTAACCCTACATGGATTCTGCAGAAATATCTCACTCATAACAGCATGTCTTTTGTTCATAAATTTGAGTTAATACAAAGACAGTTTCAATATATTTCAGACCTGCAATAAGTCAGTTAGTCATTAGGCAATTACTTTGATTACAGATTAATTGCTTAAGTCATTTAATGGTTAGAGGTTCTCAAATGTAAGAATTGTGCTGCTTTTCTTCATCTCACATGGTAATAAATTGAATATTTCAGGGTTTTAGACTCTTAAGAGTAAATAAGACAATTAATGATGTATATTGATGAGCATTTGTCACTGTTTTTGAGAGACATTACGATTAAGCAATTAATTGTAATACAATATCCTAAAAATCCCATAATTTCATTACATAAAAAATTGTCAAATAGGTTAAATAATGACTGCAGATATAGAGTGCACAAGCACCCAAACATAGAGAATGAAGTGTACAGAGAAAGGAACAGACGTAGATCTAAGATTAAAAAAAAAACCATTATTTTCTATCACACCCCCGCGACCCTGTACGCAGGATAAGCGGTTGACAATGGATGGATGGATTTTCTATCACCCAATGATAGAAAATTGTCAGGCTGATCATCTAAAGGTAATTCACAATGCTGCTGCAAGCAAGGGTGTCACTTTGTGTTGAAAAGTGGTGCAGACATAAGGGCTCAAATTAGGGGTGTGATGATACACTTGGATCATGAGATGTGACGACGCACGAGAACAAGACGAGAAGATTTTTAACTCTATTTTCAAGAAATAGTAAATGCGGAAACATATAAGATGGGCTTCTGGGGATCTGCAGGTTCTTAATTTTGTGCATTCTGGAGACATTCTTTTCCAATTTATGTCTGTATTGTATTTATTGTGCAAGTAAACCTTTCTTAAAGCATTTTAATTTGTTATTTAACATTTCTTGGTGCAAGGTATTTTCAGAACATTTTTAACAAATGCCTTCAAAAAGTGATGGGTTCAAAATCAGCCATTTCAAAATGTGGAGGGGACATGTCCCCAGCGTCCCCAGTGTAAATGACACCTATAGCAGCAAGGCTCTCTAGGACAAACACACAGTCTCACATTACACCTATCCTGAGATCGCTTTACTGGCTCCCTATAGCGTATAGGATCCAATTCAGGATTCTCACTATTACCTACAGAGCACTGCACGTTCAGGCTCCTGCATAATGTGACTGAACTACTACGCCCTTACTCATCGGCTCGCTCTCTGAGGTCTAACAAACAAAACCTGCTGTTTCTCACACGCACCCGCCTCAAGACCTGTGGTGATCGATCTTTTGAGGCAGTTGCACCTGAACTTTGGAGTTCTCAGCCAGCATCTGCACGGGCTGCTGATTCTGTGGACATGTTTAGACAGGCGTTTGTGTAAGCTGTATGCACCAGGTCTGATTTTATGTATTCATCTGTGTTTTCCATTACCTACTACTGTATGTATTTGACCACTTACTGTGCATGTTTCTTATCGCGAACTGTGCAACTATTAAGTATGTAGCCCACTTCTTCAGGTGGCTTGGGTAGTCATTTTATTTTCTTTTATCTTTCTTAATTTCTTTATCAGTGTTTTCATTCTGTAAATGTTAATGTTATAAAGCACACTGTCTGTTAAAAGCCCTGTACAAAATCAACTGTACTTACTTACTTACTACAAACAACATAAACACATACACAAATGAAAGACACATAAAACACAAATGGAAAAACAAGGAGGAGGGAAGAAAATATAAAGTGCAGCACTTCTTGTCTACCAGGTTGGACTTGCAGCTGAAAAAAGTGAGCTATTTTTACAGGTGACACTGGGAATGAAAATGGAGATGTGTGTCTTGGGAAATGCATAGTGACCCATTAAGAAACTATGGAGACTTAATGATTTCCAGCCTTCACCTGCTTCACTATGCACTACATATTATGAAGGAAGAAAAGGACATATTTCATGTTATTTCAATGTAAAACCTTCTACCATCTGATTTTATGATCCTTTATTGCTAAATATCCAAGACAGAACATGGTTTGTGCAACATGCCAGAATTGTTGTGGGAATTTACTTGGATGGAAACGCAGATTTCCTCTATTATCACAGCTAACATTAGCAGCAAGGCTGAGAAAACACACCTGCACTTTGAATAACCTGCAAACATCTCTCTGTGAGCCACACAAGCAGGGGCTTACTTCCCTCTTTGCTTGTTTTAGTGAAATAGAGTTTACAACCTTTTCATGCAGAAATAAATACCCCTGCCCTGATGCTGAGGGATCACAGCATAACAACATCCTCCATGTCAACAAAAAAAGGAGGTAAGCACAGTCCTGAATGATCAATTTCTCTTTGTAGGCCTGTGGATGAGACTGACATGTTAAACAGCTCATATAAACACTCCTTCATAACCTTCAAGGAGGTGAGCTCCAAGGAAGGGTGATGGTAGGAGGATTCAGAGATTATATACTGGGACCAAACTGTGAAAGGTTTGAAACAAAGAAAACATCAGTGAAGGTGACACTGAACCTGCAATCTCATTTTAAAGGGGCACTCCATCAATTCTACACATACAGGAAAAGCCAGTCAACTAGTCACGGGGAGTGCTACTCAGCCTGTGAAAACACTTGCGTAATGAGTCGGCCCTAAAATCAAAAACATGCAATATCTGCGAGTAACCCACTTGTGTGATGTATGTATTTCCTATAACTTCCACAGCGCTCAGTGCTATCAGAGCTCACTGGGACACGCCTGATGACTCAAAACATGACTCAATCAAATTGGTTTTATTTGATTTGATTTGAATGAATAAATACGCAGGCATTACAGTCATAATTTATAACAAACACACAACACTAACAGGAGCAAATTCAATCATCTACAGTAGAAGCATATGTCTATAGTACATAAAAGAGACACAGCATGATATTATTTTGAATGTTTTCTGATAAAATTTTATGGAAGGAACCTATTTCTCTATTCACAATGTCAGCCTGTGTGATATCATTCTTATCAGTCTCATCAAGAGGAAGAGATTTTTAATATTACATGATGACCTGAGGAGCTACTGCCATGAAAGTGTAGTGTTTGGACATGAAAAATAATAACCTTGCTGAATCCAAGATATCAAACTTTTACTTCGTCATGTCTTCTTCTTTATGATTATTTGGTCATAAAATTAGATTTTAGATTTAAATTAGATTCAACTTTACGGTCATTTCACAGAGTACAAGCACTGAGACAACAGAATGCTGTTTGGCATTTAACCAGGAGGCTTTGAATACAATTCTGGAGCAGATTTAGGATAATGTGCATGAAGTACAGTAAGAGTTCGTGTTTGTTTAACCCACACTTGATGCATATTCATCCTAATGCTGCTATAGGTTAAGCGTACAGCAATTCAACGTGAACATTACTTAAGTCCAAATTATACGTCCAATTATGGCAGAACCTCCACAGAGGATGATCATTTAATATTGAAAAAACGTGTTGATGAAACTGATCATCACATCTGAATCACATATCTGAAATATTAAATATTCACTATATTCATTGTATTAATAGTTATAAGAAAAATAAACTTTTCAAAATAATATCACATTATCTCTCTCTTTTATGTAGAGTAGACCTACATGCTTATAAATAACTCTATTTTACTGTATTATTAATTGTAGACCTATTACTCCTCTCAGCTTCTGGATGTATGTTTCATAATGTAATCTGAGTGTAACTGTTAAGCTGATCCTACTTATTAATACTTATTTATTAGGTTCTGAGCTAAACTGAGATATTAATTGTATTTGTCGCCTAATTTATTTTTAAGCATGTCCCAGTTAGCTCTGGTAAATCTTCACATGTTTGTGGTCTTAACTGGAACTTGGAGACAGTGGCAGTTACCGGAAATATGTCACACAAGTTAACTACTCGTAAATGTCACAAGTGTGGGTGTTGGGACGGACCTCTAATGTCGTCTGCGGGTCTGGAGGAGCTCAGAAAGGAGCAGTTTTAAATCCTTCTGATCAGCAAAACCATTAAAAGTGCTGCATGAATCAGTAAGCTATTACCACCTAAATTTTAGCAAATTAGTATAATTACTGTAAACAAACAGCCACAAATGAAAAATATTTTGCAGGCTCTACTGGGTTTCACTGTTTATCAAAAATTTTTGAAAATATCTAGTTAAAGGAGTAAAACGTCAACTGAAAAATGTTTTCAGATTTACTGTCTTCTTAAGTTATGGGGACGGGAAACAGTGGGATTTATGGGAAATTAAGCACTTACAAAAGCACTGGTGGGAGAAAGCACCTATTTTATTCATTTTTCTGTGGTGACTACACAAGCAAATAAATAAGTATACAATAAACAATGTCTAGAAATGAATATGAAGGTGAACGTGAATGTGTGTTGACTCAAAATGAATATGCAAGTGAAAGTGAATGTGTGTTGACTCACACAGGCTGAAAAGCACTGAAAGGTTTAGGGACAAAATACATTTTGTCTAGCATACAAATGTGGATTTAAATAAAAACCCACAAATATACATTGTCAGTGTCATTTGAAATATGTAAAACCAACAACAAGGCACAAAATAAAGGTAGCCTATTGAATTTATATTAAATATTGTACTGCACTATTTCAATCAGGACTCCAAATATCATAGTTTGCACTTATCACTGCATTATATTGGATTTATCATAACCTATGCATTTACAGTACCCTATTAATAGAGACACCAGGGGAGACCACTTGGTTTACACGTGCTCCATAATTAAGAGGCCCTTTTTTCTAAACGACCCACTCAAACGAATTTACACCACAACAAAGCCACTTACCACCCAATCGATTGGAAAGAGCTTAAATGGGAGAACTGGGAATGCTAGTCCGCAGTATTTGATATAAACAAGTCATTCAATAGATCGAAGATAAACACAGGAAGGCATAGAAGAATAGATTCACACTGAATTCCTTCACGTTTTGTCCCCCCCCCCCCCCCCCCCAGTTGGAAATCTCGCTCTGCATCATTTGCAGTGATGGATTCTCTTTACCTCAGAAAATGCTTCATGTTGTCCGCTGTCACCCCTCAGGTGTCTCCGATGCTGTGTCTGTGGAGTGATGACCTGAAAACACACCAGATGAGAGTTTTTATGTGTCTGGATGAGGCCGAAAGAAGCAGTCAGCTCAGGCCCCGCAGCTCCGGAGCTGTCCGCGGTGCTGAAGCATTAACGCGCATGTAATCTGCGGCGCTCGGTTTTATCTTGGTACCCCCGGTGTGCAGCGTTTCTGTTTGGAACAACAACACAGAGACACCTATTTCCAAGCCTTGTGAACGTGTATTTTACCCTTCAGAGAGTCATAATCCAGAAAAAAAGCAAGCTATTTAATGCTCGATCGTCTCCGGTCTGATTAGCACAGACACTATGCATAATCCGTAGCAGCAGAAAATGTCTGTAACGTCGGCTTTGCAGGCAAGGCAAGCCTGCAGTAATAGACGACATAATAATTAATGCAATAATAGGCGACATTTTTTCCTCTTACCAATTTCAAATTAATAACAGGCGAAACAAAGGTGTGGGCTTGCAGCGTTTTTTCCTCTTCACTCAGCTCCAGTCGTCTGCGTTTCCTCCATGATGACAGTTTCTGACTGAAGCTGAGGAGGTTCAGTCTAAAAGCTACAGCACAGCAATGCAGTGCAGAATGCAAAGCATCAAAACCTCTACCAACACAGCACTTTGATTAATACATCATTTGTTTCCCACTTTGCTTTAAAACACTAGTAGAGATTCAATACATTGTTAGGTTAACAATATTTTATAGATACAAGTGCATTATTGCAAGTTTCTTCCCCCTCCTATCTCACTGTAAACCCAAATAGGTTTAGAATACTCAAAATATTTGTGGAAACTGATTACCACAAACTTTTACAGTAGTGGTAATTGGATATTTTTGAGTAAACCTTAATATAATACATTTTTTAAAAACATTTAATTTTTTGCATAGTAAATTACATTGATTCATTGATGCTTCTTAAAATTAAATTTCACTAGTTCTTTACTTAATAAATGTAATTGTGCACAATTACATTTATTGAGTACTCTGAGGGAAATCTACTCAAAAAAATTCTTTGTGCTAGACTCAAATACTAATGGAAACTCACTCAACAAAATAACTACTAGTCAACTTTTAGATAGTAGTCTTCAAAATACAAATACAACTCCATTATTCAAGTTCCCTTTATTAGTATAAAAACCTTAAACATCTTCTGTCATTTATACATTTAACAGACCTTAAAATAAGGCACATCTTGCATAAAGCTGAACAGACTAAGTAACTGACTGCTTGACCAGATAATTAACCAGCAACAATTTTGATAATGAATTTGTTTTCATTCTTTTTTGCAATAATGTTGAACATTGTTTATTTCCAGATTCATAATGAGATTTTTTGGTGTCAAGTGATAATAACTTGAAACTCTTGAGCTAAATAAAATTTGACTGAAAATGTGTTTTGTGGAAAAAGCAACTATGCTTATGACTATACTTTTACTTAAATAATATAAAAGGGAGCTTTAAATTTGTAGTTTTATGGAATCATAAGAAAATAAAGATAGCTAATAAAGATTGTTTAAAATAAGAAGTTCCACACTATGCAAATTGTTAAGCCAGGTAGACGAGGTAATGGAACAATATCAGGGTCAAATTTAAGATTTTTTAACCATTATGAATGAAATTTAAAACCTATATCACAACTTAAAAAAAGAAATGCACAAAAGAAGCGCAGAGTAAATCAATGTATTCAAATCAGGGTTGAGTGATATCTACAAAATTGGCATTGGACGACGTCAACAATGAAACACCAGGATGGACGATGACATTAAGCTACATAATTAACAAGCGGGAATGCGGTGGACCTGCTGACATGAAAAATGGATCACCGGTAGAAAAATCCAGAAAAAAAGAAAAAGGAAGAAAAAGAGTTCTGTGTCTTTTTGGCAACTTTGTAAAACTTAACCTACTGCTAATGGATAAACTCAGGGGAGCAGACAGGAAGACAATAAACTACACCCAAAAAGCTAAACTTGCTAAATAAATCTACTGGGGTTGAATTCTAACCATTAAATCTGGGAAAATCCATTTGGTTATTTTTGATGCTCGTTGCGCAGCACCAAGCAGTTTTGAGCCTCACCACCTTATAATGGCAGGAAAACACTGCTAACATGACCTCAGAATCATTACAGATAGGACAGTTCATGTTTTCCTTTTGTGTCTTAATTTACAGCTTTATACATTTGTAGAAAATAACATAAATATTCGGCAACATGAGAACCACCTCCCTTCTGTATTATTACAAGCATTTCATTTGTACATCAAAATCCAAAAGAATAATCTGTAGTTTACTGAAAATCATTAACAATTGTGTGAACATTTTAATAGTGGCGCTCATTCAAATAACTTGCTAGAGACTGGTTTTAGGCCCTAAGATCTGTTTTTCCATCCAAGAACCGATAAGGTTGCACTTCCCCATAGCTGAAGAATAAATCCGTTTTATATCTGTACTACAATCCGAAAGACTTGCGGCAGTAGTAGTCAGAATACAGCTAATTATATTTGGACCGATTTGGACTAGCGACAGAAAGAACTACAACACCACGGGAGGAAAAATCATTCTTGAACACTGCGGAGCCATTTCAATGAGCATTAGAGGCAGCGTTACATGGACGTTGGAAAATAAATACCTGTTTAAAATTATTTAAGACCTAGAACACAAACTTAAGTGAATTTAAGACTTAATTTTAATATTGAAATTTTGATATTGAAATTTCAGATTTTTTAAGACCCTGCGGAAACCCTGCAGGACGTCTACCTGACAGGTGCTGTTATCAGAGCAGCTCCTTTAATCTGGAGGTCTCAGAGTGTTTGATTGCCTGAGTGACAGAAAGTGACAGTGACTCTCAGAGGAGGAAAATATTCTGGCAGTAAAAGTTCGGTGTCAGGTAATAAATGCTTCAGCTTCTCCAGACCAACAAAAGTCTGTTCCCAAATGGCTGGAGAAGTGAAGCAGGTTAACAAACATCTCCCCTTCAGACTGGAAGCTGAGCAGGAAGTTTAAATAATGTCTTTTACTTTAATGTATAGAAAGTAATGAGCAGCTGTATTCCAGCCTACCTGTCCAGCTGAGAGAAAAGAGGTGTTCAGCTCCGTTCTGAACACAGACTGAACATCCATGGGGTACCATATTTGGGTCACACATAGCGACAATCACAAGGTAGCCCCGCCCTAAAGCCTTCACTGCTTTCTGGCCTTTTCCTCTAAATTTAAATTATAATAATTTACTAAATGAACATCATGCTGTGTTGACTAGCAACTGAGACCATAAACTCATCAGGAAAGTGTTTGCTGAGGTAATAAATCAGCTGAGAAGTAGTCACATTTTCTTATAGACTGCCATCTGATCCAGTGGAGTTGCCCCAGTGCTGGCTGTTAGAGACAATGTAGGTTTGAGGCTTCACTTTTCAAACCTGGAGGTTCCTGCTTGGTGAAGACTCAAAGCTGCTTCCTGGTTTCACAAATCAGACACAATAAATTTCAGATTTCCGTGTGGTTTCGAAAACTCAACTCAAAGCTACTTACCATAGCTATATATGTCAGAGGTCTCACACCCCTGGAGCAACTAGGGGTAAAGTGTCCTACTCAGGGACACATTGGTGGACGTCACATTGGGGAATTAAACCCGGGTCTCTCACACCAAAGGCACGTGTCTTATCAACTGTTCGATCACCACCTCCAGAGAAACACAAATCCATCCACAGCCACCTTTCACTTGGGCTGAAGCGGACCGCACCAGGAGCGTCAGTGTCAGTGACCACAGTGAGGAGTGTCAGCAATGTCTGGTTCACCTTTGCACCGCAAAATACAAACAATCCAATTATGAGGATAATTATAAAAGAAAGCTAGAACTGCATGCTCATCGGTTCCCCCCACACACTTAAAAGCATATTTTTTATTTCTTCCAAGCCTGTCTTGATACAATACTCACATGCCAAAATGTTAAGAGTTACTGTTGGCTGTTATGATTCCTTCTTTTTATACTGACTCTATAACGTTTTTTTAATCTGACTCAACTGTAAGAGAATGAGGACAAAATTCTAAAGTTCATTAGAAACAGTTATGAGACTTCAGCAGTCTGACTTAGATAAGCCAAAAACCATATCGTAAGTATTTTTAGAAGTTAGTCTTTGTGTGTTTACTTGCTGAGCTGCAGCAGTGGGATACTTCCTTCCAACAGTAAACCTACATAATGACCTAACATCAATATCCATTTAATTTTTTAACTAGACTGCCTTATTTAGCTTAAATTAAACTTAGCCTTCTAAAATACTCCTCATATGGGGAATTTAGGTTTTGAGATCCATGCACCATATACTTCATTCTGCTCAACTTAGACCTATTGTCCTCATTAGTGGACACATGCCTGGGCCCTTTAGGGTCATTTGGCATCCATGTTCTGATGTCTGTTTCTTCTTTGTTACACACTGGGTATGCATATTAATTTTTTTCTAAAAGTACGCCCTGTTCAAAGACAATGCTACTAATATAAATACACACAGAATCAAAGCCCAGGTCTTGGGAGGTTTGGGAAACATTTTTTCATGAAAGGAGAAGAGCGGATTTGTCCCTAATTTCTAACAATTTGGCCATGCCTATGAAGGGGATGCTAATAACCAACAATAACCTTTTCACTGTACACATCATATTTTAGCATTGTTTTGAGATAGACAATAAAAAAACACAAACATATCCTTTCATCTCTTTAAACCTGTCAGTTGCTGGAACAGGCATTCGAGTTGGTTTCCCGTATTACATTGCATTAAATTTCATATTACTTGTCATTGATATTGACGTTTCTCTGAGTACACTGAGTACTTACATTGCAGGTTTTGGAGACATCAGTCAACCGCTAGCAGGTTCACTGGGAAGCCATGGAGGGTCGGATGACATCTCATGTGTACCTTGTGTTGTTCCTAGATTGACAATCAAAATAATTATTACTATACAAATATTTTTATATTCAAGACATAAAGTGTAACAGTTCTACCAATGTAATTCTAAAATAATAATAATAATATTGATAGCAATAATAGGCTAATACAGGCTGAAAGTAGATGGCTCTATCCTCCTAGTCATCACAAGACAATATCATAATCAAATTTCACTATTATAGTACAGAGGTCCCAATCTGTATCGACTGACCATTATGTGATCAACATTGTTGCTACGGCAAAGGTAATCTTAAACTCACCTGAAGGTCATAAATCCTGAGGATCTCTGCAGGGCCTCTGCTCTCTTGGCCGTCTGCCTGTACAGGGCAATCAGTTGTGGTGTGTATCTCTCAAGCTCGCAGTAGAATTGGTTGCATAGGTTCAACATTTGTAAAGCGATTAACTCAACAAACACCTTCAAACACATAAATGTATGCAGATTAATGCTTAAACTTGGCAGAAAAACATAATGCATCACTTACTTGTTTTAAGCAGGATGGCTGACTATATGGCAAAAACAATATAGTTTTTACCTGAGGAATGGACCACTGACTGCATTGACAAGAAAAGAAAATGCAGGGTCATCATGCAAATTTCTTTAACCTAACTTATGTTTTGCTGCATCAAAATGAAAGATTATGTGCCTAAGAATTGAGTTAGCCAATCAAATGTATTTTAAACTAGACTAATTGTATAATATTACATCATTTAGCTTCTATCTGAAGCAACATTCCCACACCAGTGCCATTTTTGAACAGGGTTGAGACAGAATTTCAGTCAGGTATTAAATAGTTTAAGAAACATAAAGGAGTCATTCAACCATCTCATCATAAGTTTATAAACAGCCTTTAAAAGAGCCTACAAAGAAAAATGTTTACACTTAATGCTGTAACTGAGCTACAGTTTTCTTGGCTTTTGATCACTGCCAATCATTTCTGAAAAAAAAATATGTATGTTATGTTATTGTATATTTATTCCCTTGATTACAGATTACAGACTACAACAGTGTACACCCCCCCCCCCTTCCTGCTTCCTTCTCCTGCAGGAGGCTGCAGGCAGGGAGGCTGATTGGGCTGGGCAATCACCTGTGCAGCTCTACCTTCAGAGCTTATTTAGCCAGGTCTTTGGTTAATCCTGACAACACACACATACACCTCACTCATCCATTCACTGCTGACACAACTGATAGTCATACTTTGCCACACCACATCATTTGATGGTGATCATTTGATTCTTCTTTTACTTTTATAATAAATCATACCATTGGCTTGCAAACCTGTTGTGTCTCACCTCCTTTTTGTCACGGGCAAAGAGTTGGGTTGTGACAACAGACATACGTTAAAAATAAACATATGAAATACATATTGCCATATATTAAACCGCTTGTTAACTTACATGAAGGCAGAGCTTGACTGTCTCCACAGTATAAGACTAAAGTAACGTTAACAGAGTTAACTTAACGTTACAGCAGTTCAGTGCAAAGTGAACATTAACGTTACCTCATTGTGTTAGCCAGCTAACTTCAAGTAATGTTAACGTTAGCTTATGTTAGCTACTGCAAAGAAAGCTGGGTTCTCTCGAACTTTGTAAATTAGTTATTAATTAACAGTTTTTCAATCAACATTGTGCAATGCTGGACAAAGGGGTTCCCTGTTTGGTGGGCGTGTCAGAGGTGTTACCCAATCAGCTGCAACATATTTGTAAACACAGCTGTGGTTAAAAAATCAACCTAACTGTGTTCCAGGCACCACCATTTCCGTTTAAAAATATTTTTAAATATTTCAGCATAATTTGGCGCCATAATTTCGTGACGAAGCTTGGACGTCATCGGTCACGTGGAATGCTCTTTTATATATATATATGTATATATACCGGTGTGTGTGTGTATATATAATGCAGCGTTCTGAACTGGGAAATGTCAAGTTGAAATATCCAACTTCCGACATCAAAGCGTTCCAGGTGCATGACACCGAAAATGAATGAAAACCATGGCTGACAATGATAAAGTGTACACACAGTTGCACTCTCAGTAGTGGTTTAGGTGTTAATTAAAAGGATGGCAGTTTAAATGCCAACAACTGACATACATAGCCTATGTTACTAGTACCCTTCTAGTTGGTAATCCTCAAGTCAATGTTGTAGGTTACACTTCCTAATCATGAGAACACATCAAGGCCCAGCTGAACAAGAACAACAACCAGCCCCGCAAGAGACAGAGGTGAGGACAGACTGAGACGGGTGAGGACAGACGGACAGGTGAGGATGGACTGAGGCAGGTGAGGACAGGCAGGTAAAGACAGACAGACAGTCAGGTGAGGACAGACAGGGACGGGTGAGGACTGACTAGTGAGGACTAACTAGTGAGGACAGACGGACGGGCAAGCTGGTGGGAACAGTCATATGAAGACAGAGAGATACAGGTGAGGACAGACTGAGACGGGGGTGAGGACAGACCAGACAGACCAGTGAGGTTTGAGACAAGTGAGGACAGACAGGATTGAGACATGTGAGGACAGACTGAGACAAGTGAGGACTGACTGGTGAGGACAAACAGACGGGCAGGCTGGTGGGGACAGTCATATGAGGACAGACAGACACAGGTGAGGACAGACTGAGACAGATGAGGGAGGACAGATAGGACAGAGGTGAGGACAGTCTTTGGGTACCTGGTGAACAGTGGTTTTGTCTCCGTCTTCAGTCTTCACAGTTCCAGCAGCAAACTGGCTCAGCTCACCCCTGATTGCTCCGTTTCAAAACCACACGGAAATTTGATATTTAATGTTTAATGTGCTTTGTGTCTTCACCATGAAGGAACCTCCAGGTTTGAAAAGTGAAGCCTCAAACCTACATTGTCTCTAACAGCCAGCACTGGGGCGACTCCACTGGATCATACAGCATATGGTCTCAATCGCTAGATTTGAGTCTTCTTCAACACAGCATGATGTTCATTTAGTAAATTATGGTCCCATTTAGAGGAAAATGGACCAGAAAGCAGTGAAGGCTTTAGGGCGGGGCTACCTTGTTATTGCCGCTATGGATGGACGGAGCTGAACACCTCTTTTCTCTCAGCTGGACTGGTAGGCTGGAATAAAATTACAGCTGCTCATTACTTTCTATAAATTGAACTAAAACACATTCTTTAAGCTTCCTGCTCAGCTTCCAGTCTGAAGGGGAGATGTTTGTTAACCTGCTTCACTTCTCCAGCCGTTTGGGAACAGACTTTTGTTGGTCTGGAGAAGCTGAAGCATTTATTACCTGACACCGAACTTTTACTGCCAGAATATTTTCACTTTCTGTCACTTGGATAATCAAACACTCTGAGACCTCCAGATTAAAGGAGCTGCTCTGATAACAGCACTTGTCAGGTAGACATCCTGCAGGGTTTCCGCAGGGTCTTAAAAAGTCTAAAATTTCAATATCAAAATTTAAGGTCTAAAAAAGTTCGCTGAAGTTTGTGTTCTAGGTCTTAAAAAATTTTGAACAGGTATTTATTTTCCAACATCCATGTAACGCTGCCTCTAATGCTCATTGAAATGGCTCCGCAGTGTTCAAGAATGATTTTTCCTCCCGTGGTGTTGTAGTTCTTTCTGTCGCTAGTCCAAATTGGTCCAAATATAATTTGCTGTATTCTGACTACAAAGACCAACAGGCAGCTTTTGTGTTATTGCCGCAAGTCTTTCGGATTGTAGTACAGAGATAAAACGGATTTATTCTTCAGATATGGGGAAGTGCAACCTTATCGGTTCTTGGATGGAAAAACAGATCTTAGGGCTTAAAACCAGTCTCTAGCAAGTTATTTGAAGCCTGCTGTGGCTGCTTAATGAATGAGCGCCGCTTTTAAAATTTTCACACGATCGTTAATGATTTTCAGTAAACTACAGATTATTCTTTTGGATTTTGATGTACAAATGAAATGCTTGTAATAATACAGAAGGGAGGTGGTTCTCATGTTGCCTATTATTATTTAATTTCTACAAATGTATAAAGCAGTAAATTAAGACACAAAAGGAAAACATTGAACTATCCTATCTGTAATGATTCTGAGGTCATATTAGCAGTGTTTTCCTGCCATTATAAGGTGGTGAGGTTCAAAACTGCTTGGTGTTGCGCATCAAATCTAACCAAATTAATTTCCCCAGATCTAATGGTTAGAATTCAACCCCAGTAGATTTATTTAGCAAGTTTAGATTTTGTGGTGTAGTTTATTCCATATCTTCTCTAGATTTTCCTACTTGTTCAATAATGTGGTAATAACAATGTTCCAAAATTATGTGGAATAGCATATTTATTTATACCGCCCTGTGAAAGCATGTTTTAATCCCGATGGACATTATTTCTGTTATTTGTAAATGTACCTGCTTTATTGCGCCTGCCTTGACTTCTCCCTGTACTCACTCTCACACATACACCTTTACCTCTCATCTCTCACTGCAAACACACTAGCAACATTGCCCGTGTTTTAAGAATTGCCTCAGTCGCAGTCATTCGCATTGAATTATAGGTAATCGCTGTCCCAGCCAATCAGCTCTTTCATACAATTTCGTCTGCATTTTTTTTTACCGTGCTGAGCCAACAACTTTTCAACAAATGCAGCTAGGTTCGCTAATGCAAACATTTCAGTCACTCAGGCTTTCACAAAACCTGATACAGAAAGGATGTTAAAAATAAGGAAATATCTGCCAGAGAAGTGTTAAGTAGCTGGAGTGCTGTTTTGTGCCACTAGGATTATTTGTCCAAGTAGAAATGTCATTTATTGAAGCTCCTTGTTTTGTCTACACTTATTAAATAGCTAAATATACCTTGTTGTATCATGTAAAATCATAACATCCATGTGTAGATGTCCTATGCGCATACATTCTGGTTGAAGCAGTGTGTAGTTCTTGTAACAGGCAGAATAAACACTCATTACCATGTCTAATGCAGCACAGACTGACTGACTTGTTGTCACTTATAGTATGTCCAGACAATTTAAAATTTAAGGTCACTGAGAAATAATGTAGAACTAAAGACAAAATAAAAGTGCATTTAATAGTAAAAATGTGAAACAGCTGCATGTTAACATGCTTGACTTTTATGGCAATATGATTTACAGTAGATTTGGTACTTTGTAACAGCACTATAGGCAACATACGTGAAATACAACTTTGTGATAGGTCAGTGTTGCTCATGCATTTTGTAAATTTTCAAATATATTAATATTATATAAAAAATGAGAAAGGATAGACAAGTAACTGATCAGTTTTGAGACAATAAATAGCAGTCATATTGGCGCACTGTTTGTGTTTAGGTGCCGTCATGGATATGGGTGATATTTGCTCCCTGTTAGTAAAGAAATATCTCTTGAAAAATGAAAAAAATAGGAATGAAAAAATGTGCCAGTCTATACTGTTAACCAACACAAAGAATGTGATGTCATACAACTGCATTTTCAATATATCAAAACATGTAAACTTTCTAATCAAGTACAAGAAAATGTGTTCTTCTGTAACAATGTAAAACTGAGTCTTCGTCAAACTGACATTTGGCCACGGACCTATAATGGAAGAAAGAATAATCACCCACGGACAGCGCTTAGTGTTGCGGTCTTTAGCTGCCTCCCTAACAACAGAAAGGCCTTCTTCGATCTTCAGTCTGTTTCAGTCACAGTGCAGCGACTGCTGTGAGTGTCTCAGTTCCCGGAGTGTCTCTGTCTGCCAACAATAAGTAGTCTGAGGAGTTTTCAGCTGTGTGATCAGCAACCACTTCATCAGCGTCTTCCTCACTGGAGCTGGACTCCGGTAAAGCAGAGTATGTGGGTACGGTGTTGAACATAACAAAACCCACGGTAATGACGACAAATGAGACGATGTAGAGGGTCGAAAACTGAGGATGAGACACAAGATTGAGGTTTTAATGACATTTTCAGGGTGAGAAATTATGTTTATGCCTGAGGTTCCACTGTACTGCATGTCACAACTTTAACCAACCACACGGTATGTAACAATGGATGGTAGCTTCTGTGGTTGACAGTGTACTATTTAGGATGTACACTTTTCATTCCTTTCGGGTTTCTCAGTAATAATGTATCTGCTATTGTTCAAATGCTACCTCCTACACTAAACACATTTCAAAAGACAAAAATGCACTTAACCATTGGTCATTTGAATATTATCTTAGTGCTTTTTTCACTCTAACAGCTACTAATGGATTTTTCTGCTATAGTGCCTTTTTTTTAACTAGGACATATTTCACTTACTGCTGCTGAAAATGAAATGACAACTTTTCTCCAGGAACGACAAATCAATGGCATTCGTTATGCAACATTACAACTAGTGTTAATTTTGTCAGCCTTTTTAAAATTTAATCTTAGTCCTGTGTCAAATGTCCTTGTTAGTTTTTGTCATATTTAGTCCACTGTTTACCATTTTTTTAAATCAAGTTTTAGTTGACTAAAAGTCTGGGTATTTTAGTCAAAAGAAAATCAAAAGCATTTTAGTCTTTTCTGACTCATTAGTATAATTTTGTTCTCATTTTTATTGCAAAGGAGACATTAACTGATCTCAATTCCTGGGCGGCTGCGCTTGTGCTTTGCTCGACACAGCAACAAACTGCCATTGCGCGGCGCAAGCCATTGAAAACAATGGGTTTCACAGCGCCGCAGTGCGGTCGTCGCAGTCTGTCTGAAAGGCCCATAATGTTTTCATCCCGCACCAGGGGCCAGCCAGCATTCAAAGCACAAGAAGAAAGAAATACCGCTGAATGAACACACGGTTCAAGTGAAAATTTAGAGGGAGAAGATATGGCCTGTAATATTTTGTCTCCTCCTTATACTGAAAAAAAGAGATTTTATTAACGTTTTTATTTTATGAATTGCATTTTAGTGTCGTCATTTTTTGTCAACAATATTGCACGTTAATATAGTCACAGTCAGCATTCAAGGACATTGTCACCATCTCGTCATCGTCTCGTTTTCGTCAGGGAAAAAAAGGTCGTTGACGAAATATTTCGTTTAGTTTTGTCTGACTAAAGTAACACACAGTAACAGTAAAGTTTCATGGCATGAATAAGTAACTGACAGCAGCATTATAAAACTAGTTGCTAGCTTTTTAATGACACTTACTGTGTACTGGAAGAGGAAGATGCCGCAGAAGAGGCTGAAGAGATCGGCGGTGAGCAGAGAGAGGTTGACAGCAGTAGCGCTGGTCATCTTCACCACTACAGGCATGAAGCTGTACAGTCCGAACATACACACGACAAAGACTGCAAACAGCATGGCTGCAGAACACAACAGGGTGGACTTTAGTGAGAGACGATGGAGTGATATTCCAATCAAAGATGCTTCAAAAGCAACAACTTCGAAGTCATTGTATACTCAAATACTCTGATTTAACGAGACAGAAAGTTAACTTACAAATGCTGAAGTCCCACTTTATTTCCGCCACTGCATGAGTTTCCAGAACAGCTCTGCAATGCCAAGCAACGAAAATTTAGCAAGGTGAGGGAACACACTTTTTCCCCCTACTTGAGTTAAAGGATAATTACATTTAAACACAAATGCATTTTGTATGGTGGAGAAGATCAGTACAGCTGCATTTTGTTCTCTAAAACATCTAGTATATATAGTTTCTTTGTAGACAAGAACAAAATCTAACAGTGCTCTCATTAGGTAGCCATCTTGTCGCACTTTGTGAGCAGACAGTGTCTATGAAAAGCTTTTTATATTGTGATATCAAATATCTGTAAAATTAAATAAAGATTAACTTCATAAGATTGTTTTATTTTGTTTTATAAGTGATTACAGAATCAAAATGAATTCTCTCCTGACACAGAAAAGGGCATTTGGGATGCATCACGCCAAACACATCCATTAGTCTACAGGTGCCTATTTTTGTCAAATGGATTTAAACAATAACTCACAGCTGTATGCCACTGATGAGGGTCCCAAAGAGGCCCATCATGCCCAGAAATTCGACTCGGCTCAAGTTCTTCACCGTGTACTCTTGGCACACATTGGATACAGCATAGAGGACAGCACTGAGCAGGACCAAACTGTCTCCGAGTATGACATCACTGGCTGCACAGAGAAATAGGGGCAGTTATAGATAAGCACTGAAGGAATTCATGACAGTAATCATTTACATATCAACTGCAGCCAAAGTGTTGCTGATAAATCCTCATTGCATTGAGAACCCATGAATGTGCACAGCATGGTGGGTCAGAGTTGAACTAGTGTGTTCGCTTGTAAACTGAGATGGATGATTACAGCAGACAGTTAGGATTATGTTACTTTTCACCTTAATTTTTTCTTGCTATAAACTGCGATCAAGTTTCAGATATTATAAGTAGGAAAATGTGTCCTTACTGGATCCCTGGTCTCTTCCAGCCAGAATGTCGGCCCCTACCATGGCTCCTACCCCCAACAAACACACAATCACAGCTACGAAGTGGACCAGCCTGTAGCGAGTCTTCAGAAGGAACCAGGAAAGCACCATCAGCACCGGGATCACAAAGCAGTCCAGCAGCTGAAACACAAAGCATCATCACAATGACAAACTAGCACTACTGTGTGTTAACAGAGTCTGAGTAGGAAAGACTCATCATGTAAAACAGGTCAGGAAGATTGTTTACATAATGACACTGATTTCAACCATATCACTATGTATGTTTAAGCAGCAGTTCACAACTCCAGACCACTGAAGTGATGAACCATTTCTTCTCTTACCTGTATACTTGTCAGGGTGGTTAACTGGTAGGCTTTCACAACTGCATAGTTTGCCTCCACATCTGCCAGACCCATCACCAAATATTTCCACCATTCGGTTCTTAAAATCTGTAGAATGTTCCTGTCACCTGTAGAAACTGACATGGTTTACTTTAGAGTTACAGTGCAAAAGCTGTTTTCTCAAAAGCTACTTCTGAACACTATTTTCCACAAAATCCAGTGATTAGAGGCTTCTCTTATCCGAACTTATTAATCAAACAATAACAAATAATCTTCTGCCACATTCCTTTGGATATTTTGAGTTTAACTAAGAATTACACACTAAGCTATGACTTGGAGGTGCTGGTGTTGCCATGTGTTTGTAAACTTGGTGCAATCTTCAATTTTCATGGGTTTACATAAAAAGTGACATGGAAACTTAACCAGTTATCCCACCCCAGTTTCCATATATTTGTTTATTGCAGGCCACAATTCTGCAGAATTTGCAGCAGCTTTTCCAAATAATTGTGATAGAATTTGACCACTTTGGTCATTTTTTGATATGATTCCAATATTTTTCATACTAACAATGGGTTACTCTTAGTGAGAATTATTGGCAACAATAATCAAGCGGCAAGCTTCTGGTCTGAGACGTGAATCCAATGCGGAAGTCCCTTTAACCTGCATTATATTGAACGGCCAGCAGGGGGTGACTCTTCTGGTTGCAAAAGGAAGTTCGGTTCCATTAGAAATAACTAATCAACTTCTCAGCTGATTTATTACCTCAGTAAACACTTTCCTAATGAGTTTATGGTCTCAATCACTAGTTTCAGGTCTTCTTCAATACAATATGATGTTCATTTAGTAAATTATGGTCCCATTTAGAGGAAAATAGAACATTATTTTATGTTTTAGTAACTTTAAAAATGCTCAACTGGAGAAGCTTGATCAGAGAGATCTGTAGCCTGGACAGCACCTACATGGAGAGACAAGTTCTAGTTGTCTCCATTTCACAGTTAAGTTTGATTTGCATTGCACTGCAACATAGAGCAAATTTGAAAGAAACTTTAACTTATCACCAGCCTTTGATTCATTGAGAATAATTAGAAGATCTAGATAACCTGACCTTTGCGGAGGCTAAGGATGGTCGTATAGATGAGCAGCAGCAGGGCGTAGTTGAGGAAGCTCTGCAGCATGGGCGTATTCACCTCAGCGCGGGCCAGGTACTCACAGCTCACAGCTGTCCCACAGATCAGCAGGGACAAGACCTGCCCCATGACTACGGTCTTCAGCAGACGCCTGGAGAGTCATCAAAAGCGTCATGTCTCAAGTACATGGACTGGACGCCACAAAAGCAACACCTAGGCATAAAATCTAACACAGACACCCCTGTTGACTCTCAGATGTTGTGAGTGTAGAGGGAGCTGAAGGCAAAGTTCTTGATTTACAAGTGATTCTACATTTCAGTGTTCATCCATGATCACAAGCTCTGTGTAACAGCTCAAAGGATAAAGTCATGAATACAAATAGTCAGAATTCCTTTCAGGTGTCATGTCGGAGCATTGAATTGAGTAGACCCAGAATGTTTTCCCTGTGGAGGTATTCCTGAGTGCTGTTTCACAAAACCAAGACAGCAGATTAAGCCGGGATTTTCCAGATATCCTGGCTGAATTATGCCGTGACTCAGTTTCACAAAAGCAGTGACACTGTTCCAGACCAGGCTAACAGCCAGGCTTAGTTAATCCTGGTGCCTTATCTATTCAGCGGCCACGCCGATCAGAAACCAAAGTGTTTTCTTCAGTTTTTCCATGTTCTTATGTATGTGTTTTGCATATTTTTCATTAGCATGCATTAAAATACCACAGGTAGCCTACAATATGGTAGCACATAGTTTGTGGTTATCAGGTTTCATAATTGGAGAAGAAGATGCGAGCACCATACTTTACACACAGTGAGCAACAGCGAGTAGGTTTACCTGGAATAAAAGCACATAACATGTGTACTGACAAACCCTGGAGTACACACATACATCACTGCAGCAAGGTGAGAACATTAACCACTAAAGGCCAGCCAAAACAAGATTTTCAGGTGGTGATATGTTGCTCTTTAAGACTGTTTCTGAGGCTGGCTGTTTTGTCTTGTGTGATTGCAGCTGTGGCTCTGCACATTCAGCACTACATTTGTACATGGTATGCATAATGCAAAACAAATGTTAAATGGGATTAATGTAATTCCAAAATAATTAACATATCTGCAACAGAATAAATACATGTTGCATGTTGGTAATATAGGCCTTTTTCCCAGCAGACACTTTGACTCATCATTGTAGGAAAACCACAGGTGTTACTAATAATATTAATGATGGTTCTGTTCTATTCAAGTGTCCCAGACACCTGAACCCTGAAACTTACCGGCAGCTAAATTACATTACATACATATGTGCTTTAACTTCTGTGACATGTCAAAAATACTTCACTTCTGTTTTACTATTTAACTGGCTGTTAAATGCTTGTCTAGAGCTCAGTGACATGTATTTTACTAAACAGCTAAATCAGTGCTCACCATGTGAAGACATCCCTCAAGTTGTAACTGTACAAACCACAGCCAACCGTCCATTTCCCACACAGTCTCTCCTCTTCAGGCCCATCCATATCTTTGACAGCTAAACCTAGAAAGAAGTGGGGGGGTAAATAAAAGAAGAAAGAGTTTTAGTGTCTTTAAGGCTCACTGTCTTCATTAGACTACCCAAGCAGAACATGGTACTAAATCCCCACAGGAATGTGATGTGTTATACTATGATAACACCAGAATTATGGTCCAAGATAAATAGGCCTGATAGTTGCCATTCATCCTCTTTACTGACATAATATGGATCCAAAACGTAGTTTGTAGCACCGTACTTTCAAGTAATCTTACTTACAGAGGATATTTACGTTGGTGTTTTTAGGGTGAACAAGTAAAACCTTTTGGAAATTAAAGTATAATAATACATACATCCGACATTTGATACATCCCGAATTTGAATGTGTCAAATAATAATTCACAATAACGATATAATTATGTTAAAGCAGGTATAAAAGACTGGCAATAACCACAACAACATTAAACTGTCACTTTTTCAATGAAGTTTGGCGTATCGTGTTCTAGATTACGCGCGAGTGATCGTGTCATTCATAGGAGCTTCCTTAAACTACAAATAGCTGAATGAAACCGTAATGTAAAATCCAAGCTATATTCTAATAATTGACAAAAAATGTACATACGTTTTCTTCTTCAGACATATCAGGTGTGGTGAAATTCTTCAGATGCGATGAATTTTCATTTTGGCCAGATCGCACCAAATTACCATCCACGAGGGGCAACTTCTCATCCTGAATGAATCAATCTAACCTCGTGCTATCTAGACCCGCCTTCTGTGCTTTGATTGGTCAAAGAAATTGTAAATGACATCTGCACCGTGCAGTGAAACTTGGTCTGGTCTGGTGCTGATGAGAATCACAAGGTATTTTAACACGGATCCATGGATTTTACTCGCCGCTATTAGTGGACTGTAAATACATTTAAACTACTTTACGTTCTGTACCTAAATACACTTTAGGGGTACTTAAGTATTTACATTTTATGCTGCCTACATTTATTTAAGAGCTGTAGTCAATAGTCAGTTTTTTACAGAACATACAGTATCACACTTTTATGATGCATGTGTTCCCTGCAAAAATCTCCTTATATAAATTGATTTATATCTATGATTCCTAACCTGTATTTTCTCAACCATGCAGTAAGGATATTCCAGCCTGTTTTCAATGCAAATCACTTTGCAGCTCTTTAACTTGTAACTAAGGTGACCAGATGAGAATGGGTGAAATTCGGGCTACCGGTACATTGAGTGTCAATGAACATTAATACACGTGAAAATCAAAACACAATGCTTAAATTCATTATTTTTGTTCTTGAAGTCAGCTGTCTGTTATTAGGAAAAATACAACGGTGGATATGTAGGTAAATCATGATCTTTTACTTTATTTTTAAATTTATTTTATTCATGTCATCAGTGCAATGTCACATCTGTCTGCGCAATGCGCGTGTCAGATCTCTCCGCCGTGCAGTTGCAGCCTGAAGCATGTTAACAAAGCTGTTGACACAATGTACAGATAACCTGCAACCCCTGCTGGAGCAAGAGAACTATACAACGATCAGTAGGCCTATATGTTTAATTAGGCCATAATAAAAACTCAAGTTAGGTCACATTTTCGGGACAAACCGGAAAGGGGTCGAGACAACTGCTCGTAATTCGGGACTGTCCCGGGTTTTTCGGGACGTCTGGTCACCCTACTTGTAACAGAGTATTTCTGCACTGTTGAATTACTCCATATGTCTTCCACCACTATACACCAATGTATTATAAAGTGTACAGTACTACAAATCGTTATTGTTTAAGAAAGCCTTAAGCAAGGAGTTCCACTCATGCAGGTACAATATAAGCAGTGGTGAAAAAGTACTTCTATTACTGTACTCAAGTGCAATTTTGTGGTGCTCATACTTACATTTTATTTCAATTTTATGCTTATTTATACTTCCACTCCACTACATTTCACAGGGAAATACTGTACTTGCTATTGTACTTACATACAAAACACATCACCATTTTATAAAACATGTGACATTGCAATAGATGAAAATGCCCAACACTTAAAAGTCGATAAAGTAGATACATTTTTGCTTTGGCTCAGCCACTTGAAACATTAAAAACTACTTTCAAAACATCAGTAATAATGATCCACCAATATATATGCCATGGCACCACCACTGTTGCTTCTGCCCTCCTAATCCTCATATGAAGGTTAAAGTCCTTCTTGTTTGTGTGAGAAAGCATTTAACCAAAATGGTCAGACAGAGAAAGAATGATAACAAACATCATACTGATTATAAGAAACAATAACTGTCCTTGAGGCTCTGCAAATATTGACCTCCAATTTCCCTCCCAAGCATATTTGGCCAACACGTTGCTTGATACATCACTGCTGAGAATTAAAAACAACTACAGAATGTGGTAGTAGTAGTTGGCCATTACCACTGCCAGTAGTACTACACTGACCTAGTAGCAGCAGTAGTGTGCCAGAAAAAGTAGTAGTTGAACTTCATGTTAGCATCTGTATCAAGTATACAGAGAATACCAGTATGTAGTGACTCCATTTCACAGCACGCAGAAATACACTGATATCCATGAGGTCCAAGGTTCACCACAATCAAAGTATATTGGAGACACATTTGGCTGACAGTGATGTTTTAGGCTACAACAGATATTTTGTACCAAAACTTTCAGTATCTTTAAATTGGACTAGTTCAAAAGTAAAAAAAAAAATTTTTGCTATAGATTTTTATATTTGGTGGAAAGTCTTCTGAAACATTAAACAGAAACAGAAGAAGGTTATGCATTTTCAGCAGTGGTAGAATAAGGATTCAGATCCCTTACTCAAGTAGAAATACTATAGTTCAAAAATATTCCATCACAAGTAAAAGCCCTGAACTCAAAATGTTACTTATGTAAAAGTATAGGCCTACAGAAGTATCATCAGCATGTACAAATGTACTTATAGTATGAAACTTTGGCAATCATATACAGAATGGATCCTTTCAGAGTGTTTTTTTTCTTTATTATATTTTTCCATTTTTATCACTTACAGATACATATAAGAGAATTCTAATTTTGCAATCTGTCAATGTGTAGCCAATTTTATATACTATTGGGTAGCTTAATAGTTTAGTACTGCATCGTCCAATATAAGTGTATCATATCTTTTTTTAATGTAAAATCCTAATCTGAAAAGTAACTAGTAACTATAGCTGTAAAATAAATGTAGTGAAGTAAAAAGTATTTCCCTCGGATGTGTAGTGGAGCAGAAACATAAAATGGAAATACCAGTACCTCAAACGTGTACTTAAGTATAGTACTTGAGCAAATTTAGTTAATTACATCCCACCACTGTCTGTTTGAATAACATAGGAGGAAATGTAGGAATAAAGATAACAGGAATCCATATTTACAAAATGATGTGTGTGAAACAAAAAATATGCAAAGCTGTAAGCTACATAATATGAAAATACACAAATGTGAAACCTATATGATATTCTGTAATAAAAATGATATATATTATATTTTTTTATTATTAAATATTAATACTTAATCTTTATAATAAAGTCAAAACACTGAAAGTCAGTGATGTGATAAGGTGAATCCTCATCCTCTGTGTAGCTCTCGCGAGACTATACGAGAAGATAAGTTGAGGGAACATGGCGACGTCTAATTTGCTAAAGGTAGGACCCAGTTTAATTCAATTATTTGTATTTAATGCCCGCTGAAGCGCTTGTCACTTGCGTAGTGTGATGTCGGCGTTTAGCTTTAAACTTATCGAACAGCACATGACGCCTGTACACGACTGTGCTGTCAGCTTTGACTTTAGCTGGAAGCTGTTAAGTTGCATCTGGCTAACATTAGCTACCTACCAGTGATTTAGCTGGCTAAATTAGAAAAGCTACAACACAGCTAAATATGAAGGAAAGAGGCAGATACAGGGGGGGCGGAGAAACAGATAGATACATAACAGGTGGGGGACATATCGTTAGATAAACTTGCCCCAAAATATAACTCTTACCTGTGTCTACGCTAGCTTACAAATCTAATATCTGTCAGTGGCACAGGAGTCTGTCTGCAGCTGACCAGCCCCTTGACAGACATGTTAAAGGCTGCTGCAGCAAAAAAGCAACTGTCTTAGTAGTTTTCCCGAGTGAACATCAATCCTCTGCTGCGATCTTACTAGCTTAGCTTGACAGGAAACAATGGCACGGTGTCTAAATCCAATCTCAATTCACACCGTCAAGTAGAGGGACAGGGGAGGTGACATAGCTAGGGGAGACAGACTGATGCTGTATGATATGAAATAGCAAAGCAGTCAAAACAGAAGACTTTTGCAAGGAAAAGTAGTATTTGTATGGGCAGACAGTCTGACAATCTATACCAATAGCTAGCCCCAGTGCATTAATTGCTATGCCACCTCTGTTCTCTTCTTTTGTTGCACAACATGATGACACTCGTCTCTTTCATGTTCCTCTTGTTAATGTCCACATCCATACACATCTGGTAGAACATGATTCAATACTCCTGTTTGGCTTGCACCACAGCCTGTTAGCCTTCCACACCCTGAACTGCTAAATTCAGCAAACATCCAGTGTTGTTAAGGGGAACTCCCAACACCTTTGCAGGTAAAGGTCAGGTTACTAGTCATGCAGTTAATGATGAGGATGCCTTCTGTGAGGGAGCTTTGTCAAGTCTGAGCAAATATCTCCTGATTATGCGGTCAGGGTTATCTAAGCTTGGGCTAGGAAGCTACAGATACACAACTCAAAGCATGAACATACTGTTTATTAGGTTCTGTTCATACTGTACAATGTCGTAGTTACATACTGACATTTTGTATGTAGTTTAGTTTATGTTGTGTATATCACAGTTACATCCCTTCTCTTATTATTCAGTATCTACATTGTGTGTTGTTGTTATTTATCTGCATTTTCAGGTGAGATGCAAAACTGTATTTTATTGTACTGATGCTTACTGTATGCAACGACAATATTTTAATCTATAGCATACTGTTTTTGCAGTTTTATACAACAGATCAACAAACTTAAATTGTTATACTTACAGGAAAATATACAACTTTTGTCACAATCCCACAGAAAGTTAAACTTCCCAAAGACACTCCAAATAGTTTTTCAGAAAAGCATAGTAATTATTTGCTTTCTGTAGCTCTTTCACAACTACTCACTGTTATTCACATTTTTTGCTGGTTTGCCCATTGTTTGAGAATAGTGCACATCAACAGCACACACTCACATCAGATTTCTTTTTGTTTGCACATTGACTGTTTTGAATATACACTGCTCAAAAAAATAAAGGGAACACTTAAACAACACAATGTAACTCCAAGTCAATCACACTCCTGTGAAATCAAACTGTCCATTTAGGACAGTTAATAAATAAAGGAGTGGTTCTGCAGGTGGTGACCACAGACCACTTCTCAGTTCCTATGCTTCCTGGCTGATGTTTTGGTCACTTTTGAATGCTGGCGGTGCTTTCACTCTAGTGGTAGCATGAGACGGAGTCTACAACCCACACAAGTGGCTCAGGTAGTGCAGCTCATCCAGGATGGCACATCATTGTGAGCTGTGGCAAGAAGGTTTGCTGTGTCCGTCAGCGTAGTGTCCAGAGCACGGAGGCGCTACCAGGAGACAGGCCAGTACATCAGGAGACGTGGAGGAGGCCGTAGGAGGGCAACGACCCAGCAGCAGAACCGCTACCTCCGCCTTTGTGCAAGGAGGAGCAGGAGGAGCAGGAGGAGCACTGCCAGAGCCCTGCAAAATGACCTCCAGCAGGCCACAAATGTGCATGTGTCTGCTCAAACGGTCAGAAACAGACTCCATGAGGGTGGTATGAGGGCCCGACGTCCACAGGTGCTGCCGTTCTGCTGTCTGCAACATCCTCCAGCATGACCGGTTTGGCGGTGGGTTAGTAATAGTGTGGGGTGGTATTTCTTTGGGGGGCCGCACAGCCCTCCATGTGCTCGCCAGAGGTAGCCTGACTGCCATTAGGTACCGAGATGAGATCCTCAGACCCCTTGTGAGACCTTTTATTTTTTTGAGCAGTGTATTTAATCTAGTCACTTCTCCAGCATAAACATAGTACATACTCACGTCTGCTTAGATTTTGTGTGTATTATGGAACTGGGGCACAACTACTGGCATAACACAGGGAGGGAACGAAAAGATGCTATTAGTGGGAAAAATAGGATTGTTTTCATTGGAAGTGTTTTTGGAGCCAGACTTTTAGTTTGCTGCATCAATTTTGTCCTCTTCTGTCTCTTGTGAGGCCCCCAATTTTCTGGAAGTCCAATATTTCATTGGAGTAACCCTTTTAATCAACTTTATGCCAATGATACTAACATTATTCTTCATCACCATTTAATTGGTATTATCTAGTATTATCTAGATTGATTCATCTTTTAGGTCGATAAAATGGTGAAAAATCCTGATCACTGTCTTCTAAAGGCCAAGGTTACAACTACAACATGCTTGTTTTATCTGACCAACAGTCCATAGCCCAAAGATATTCAGTTTACTATCACAAAAGACAAAGAAAAGCTGCAACTCCTAACAATTGTCAATTAAGCAAATAATTGTTTCAGCTCGACCTCAGTCTTCATCCACTGAAACATACATTGCTCCAATTTCAAATGTTGAAATTTTGCAGAAATAATTGCTGTCTAACACGTTACACCAAAATCTCCCCACAGGTGCTCAGTTTGGTTGAGATCTGGTGACTGTGAAGGCTGTAGCTTTCACATCCTTTTCATACTCATCAAACCATTCATTGAGCCCTCGTTCCCTGTATCTGTCTCTGCATTTTTTTTTTATGGTTCTTCACTCACTGATCCAGATTTTTCCTTCAGTTTGTCACCCATCTATGTGTGCCAGATTTCATATAGAATTCAATCAACTATTTAAAAGTCTTGAATGTTTTACAACCGGAAACGTATCATACTCTTGGGCAGCTTCTGATACAAATCGGAGAAAGTAATCCAGGTAGAGCTGGAATGATTAGTTAATTAATCAATAGTTGATTGACTGCCCGAAGAATAATTGGGTAATTTTAATAATTTACTAATTGTTGAAGTAAAACTTTCAAGCAAAAATGTTCCAGTTTCTCAAATTTGAGAATTTGCTGCTTTTCCTTGTCTGACAGTAAATTTAAAAAATGAGTCTTCCATAGAGAATTTTTATTTTGGCATTCTCAATGCAAAATGCAATTTTTATTTTTTGTTGTATTGTTTCTTTGTGATTATGTTTTTAAGTGATACTTAATGTTAGATAAATAGCCCAAGAGGTTTGTCATTGTCTAACCCAAATAATTGACAAATTTTTAAAAGGAGTTTTGAACGAGTTATAAATATCAATTTGTATTGTTAATTTGTTGTTTGTTTTTTTTTGCATTTGTGTTGTTTTAATGTTTCAAATATTTTAATGTATAAGCCTTACCTTGGCAACAAAACTCATGAACAGTTTGAATCATTTAGTTAACTTCCCTTCTGTCTGTTTCCAGAACAAAGGCTCCCTTCAATTTGAGGATAAATGGGACCTGATGCGTCCCATAGTTTTGAAGCTGCTACGGCAGGAGTCGGTCACCAAACAACAGTGGTTTGACCTGTTCTCGTAAGTTTACCATAAAGCTTCTGCTGTCAGCTAGGAACTGATGTTGAAGGGAAAACAGGTTCAGGTAAATCTGTTAAAAAAATATTATCCACTGTTTGTCCTCTTTGTCTCCACAGAGACGTCCATGCTGTATGTCTGTGGGATGACAAAGGTCCAGCTAAGATCCACCAGGCCCTCAAAGACGACATCCTTGATTTCATCAAACAAGCACAGGCAGTAAGACGAAGACCATAATGAGATATTTGACTCAGTACATGATGCTGTTTCATGTCTAAACTATATACTTGCTGTTCCCACATTTTCCCATTACTCCACTTTAATTACATCCTAGGTGCTTTAATAAACACACAAAGGAGTGTGAAGTTGTTGCTTCCACTAACAGGAAGGTGAATTTCTGTGTGGATATAGTTAGCTAGCCATCTAGTGGATGTGTGTCCGTTACAATGCCTTCACTGAGAGAGAGACATTTCTGCTACTTGCTTTGCATTCTGGTCAAATGAGACTGCTGTTGGTGTTTAAAAAATGTTTTCGCTTCTATGAAACATTTGTACAGATCATATGGTAGAAAAAGATAATGATGTGGAAATTTGTGCTAATGACTTTCTGTACGGACCTCGGACCTTTAGAACCAAAGAGGCGGTGGGTTAGACGGTGCTAAGGTAATGTCATTTGGTATTTATAGCCACTGAATTATATCATAATACTAAAACCCCTGTCCTTTTCTGTATGGTGCACACAATAGTGAGCATCGACTATAAACTATAAATGAGAAGATAAAGTACAGGGAATATATTTTTAGATATTATGTGGTTGAACAATCAAAGAGGAATTGTACAATAGCTGTCTTACTGCATTATGTTAAGTAAAAATTAGTTTTTCTTATTTATTATAATGCCCCACTTGACATTCACTAATGCTTTATTTAGATAGTTGAAATAAAATCTGTTGTCACGACTGGCTGATGCTGTTGCTGGTCGACCACTGTGGCTTTCTCATAAATTGTTCTTCTTGGTAAATCTGTCGATGTGTTAGTTAGATTCTGCAGGTGAAAATCAACCCTGTCTTATGTTTCTTACTCTTTGTTTCCCACTCTTTCTAAGCGGGTGTTGAGTCACCAGGATGACACGGCGTTGCTGAAGGCCTATATTGTGGAGTGGAGGAAGTTTTTCACACAGTGTGACATCTTGCCCAAGCCCTTCTGTCAGCTGGAAATCACACTGATGGGCAAACAAGGAAGCAACAAGAAGTCCAACGTGGAGGACAGCATAGTGCGCAAGGTAAGGAGTAGCAGCAGGAGTGGGCAAAATAAGAGTAAACTTCTTTAGCTGTAAAATAAACATGTTTATAAATGTACATTTTCATCACATTGCAAGTAACACTGCATTCTGATTATGTGTCTCTTGTCTCTTCAGCTGATGCTAGACACGTGGAACGAGTCCATCTTCTCCAACATTAAAAACAGGCTACAGGATAGCGCCATGAAGCTTGTCCACGCTGAGAGGCTGGGAGAGGCCTTTGACTCCCAGCTGGTCATCGGAGTGCGGGAGTCTTACGGTGAGAAAAACAGAAACTCAAGTCACCTTATTGTTCCAATATCTGCATTCCTTGCAAGGCCTAAAGGACCATGAGTGTATCACATTAAGTATAGTTTATTTTTGTCTGAACAAAAATCTTTGTCCAGAACAAGACTTTTGGTTGTGAGTCATTCACCTCCTCTCCATTCAGTTTTAACCATGCACTGCATCTACAGTCTGTACTCCTTTGTTTTGTGTAAGGATTTTCTTAGCAGGAATGTAAAGAACTTTAGCAAATTACTTATTACATTTTGCAGTTTACTGCATAACTTTTCTCCTTCACATTAGACATGTTATTTGAATAAATGATTTCACTAGATGGGCTTTGGACCATTTGTTGCATGTCATCCCCCTCTCTCCACAGTTCCTGTCTTTCTCTGCTATCACTATCAATATAGCTGAAATGCTAGAAAGAAATAATTAAATAACACATTTAACAAGAAGCTAGTTCTTTCTGCAGAAATTACATATGTATATATAAACATACACATATACACACATTAGATGATACATACTGGTATTGTAATTACACTACATATAGCATTATTTAGAATCAGTACCACCATGACAAAGTTGCCCTTTGAGGCTATTGGATCAAGTGTTTCTCACCAAAACCAGTGTGTGAGGTCAGCTGTGCTGGATGCATATTTCCCCCACAAAGAACATTTGTGAAGTTTGTTATGAATATTGTAAATGATGCTTTGTTTTCTAGCTTTTTTTTTTTTTCTTTGGTGGAGCCTTGCTATATTTTTTGGGTTTTTGTGTGCGTTTCCACTGTCAGTCAGTGGAATTGCGTGACACAACTAGCAGGAACATGTTTTCCTGGAACGTCGCCCGCGTGCCTTTTATACTCAAAAAAAAAAAGTCGCCACTCCAAGACCTTAATGTTCTTCTTCTTGAGCCATTCCTTTGTTGCCTTGGCCATGTGTTTTGGGTCATTGTCCTGCTGGATTACCCACACGACCCATTTTCAATGCCCTGGGTGAGCGAAGGAAGATCTCCCCCAAGATTGGACGGTACACGGCCCCGTCCATCGTCCCTTTGATGCGGTGAAGTTGTCCTGTCCCCTTAGCATAAAAACACCCCCAAAGCATAATGTTTCCACCTCCATGTTTGACAGTGGGGATGGTATTCTTGGAGTCATAGGCAGCATTCCTCCTTCTCCAAACACGGCGTGTTGAGTTGATGCCAAAGAGCTCAATTTTGGTCTCATCTGACCACAACACTTTCACACAGTTGTCCTCTACTTCATTCAGATGTTCATTGACAAACTTCAGACGGGCCTGTACATGTGCTTTCTTGAGCAGGGGGACCTTGCGGGCGCTGCAGGATGTCAGTCCTTCACGGCGTAGTGTGTTACCAATTGTTTTCTTGGTGCCTATGTTCCCAGCTGCCTTGAGATCATTGGCAAGATCCTCCCGTGTAGTTCAGGACTGATTCCTCACTGTTCTCATGATCATTGCAACTCCACGAGGTGAGATCTTGCATGGAGCACCAGACCGAGGGAGATTGACAGTTCTTTTGTTTCTTCCATTTGCGAATAATCGCACCAACTGTTGTCACCTTCTCAGCAAGCTGCTTGGCGATGGGCTTGTAGCCCATTCCAGCTTTGTGTAGGTCTACAGTCTTGTCCCTGACATCCTTCGACAGCTCTTTGGTCTTGGCCATGGTGGAGAGTTTGGAATCTGATTGATTGATTGCTTCTGTGGACAGGTTTCTTTTATAGAGGTAACAAACGTGATTAGGAGCACTCCTTTTAAGAGTGCGCTCCTAATCTCAGCTCGTTACGTATATAAAAGTTACCCGGGAGGCAGAGATCTTTCTGATTGAGAGAGGGTCAAATACTTATTTCACTCACTAAAATGCAAATTAATTTATAAAATTTTTGACAGGCATTTATCTGGATTTTTTTGTTGTTGTTCTGTCTCTCACTGTTCAAATAAACCTAACACTAAAATTATAGACTGATAATTTCTTTGTCAGTTGGCAAATGTACAAAATCAGCAGGGGATCAAATAATTTTTCCCCCACTGTATGTAGTTGTGGTGTTAAACTATTTCCTGAGGTCTCTTAAATAACTAATGTGAAACTCTAAGATTAAACATCTGTCTACACAGCCTACAGACGTTTGTTTATTTCTTTGTCTGTCTCTGATGGTACTGTGTTTTTATTTTCTGAACAGTGAACCTGTGCTCCAACCCTGATGACAAGCTGCAAATCTACAGGGACAACTTTGAGAAAGCATATATGGATTCTACTGAGAGGTTCTACAGAACACAAGCACCCGCCTACCTCCAGCAAAATGGGGTCCAAAACTACATGAAATATGTAAGTATGAGCCATGGATGTATTAAAGACCCTGAAAACTTATTTTCTTAATAAGCTTCTGTGAGTAATGGGATCCCAAATGAAAACACTATTCTCTAGAACTGTTTTTTTGTATTTTTTTTTTTCTCTGTTCTTTTGACGGTGATGTTGCACACATGACAGGACATGACGAGACAATTTGTGGGTTATTTCGTCACTGTCTATTTACATTTACTCATTTGGAAGTTTATCAAATCTGGTCAAACCACACACACAGTCGTAATAAATCAGATTAGCAGAATTTTGAGTGGTTAACTTACTGGGTGCGTACGCTGAAAAAAGCTCCTCATGCTTCCACGTTTTTGGGCCTTTACAGCACCAGAGTCCTTCTCCAGCCAGTTGAGAGCATGTGCGTCCAAAACGTACTCTGGTACCAAGTGTGGCCACTAAGACTCACAGCACAGCGCTATAATAGAGCTAAATGTTTCTCTTTAGTCATAAACTTTAAGCTGATATTGTAAGAGGTATAATACCAGGAACTTTATGGAATACCTTTTATTCGTGTTCTTTGTTGATTAATTGTTTTATTAATCTATTGAAAAAATAGATAAATCTATTCTGCTCCCTGTTCAGAGTTTCTGTTTGCCGCTCCCAGCTTGGCTCAGCTCAGAGAAAACCACCCTAAGTTTTCTTCATAACAAAGATAATAGCTGCTGTCCTACAGTTGCATTTTACATCACAAAGCAAACACTTGAGCCTTCTATTGAGGCTCGTATTCCTGTTTGATGATCTTGGCAATAAGCCAGTAGGAAGAACCAAAAGAGAACACAGTCAGACAGTCAGCATGATCCGCTGCGGTTGCTGATCTCGTGCTTGTCTTCTTCACATCAGCTTTCTTACTCAAACAAAACTGAAGCTTTGTATGTGTTTAAAGCACAGCATGTACCAGAACTGTTCAGTTTCCCAATCTCCCAAGCTTTAATACCACTGTAAGTCAGTGAAGATCAGACTCTGTAACTTCAAGGGGGGCTCGGCTCCTCCACAGACCCTTCCTCTTGAGGACTTTTCTACAGTAAAACAATTGAAGTAACCCTAAAAGTAGATTTTTCGGATGAATTTGGAAAATGTTCCACTTTGAAGAGGGATGCTGTGCTTATTTTTAGTAAAGGATCCGTTTCATGCTTTTTTTCTATGGGAGCATTTTAGGTGCTGGAATTGTTTTTGACATCCTTTTTAGATTCTTTTGCTGCTTTAAAAAAATTCTGTGCCGTAGACACTGCAGGTCATTTATAGGTTTCAAATCTCCTGAAATACTTGGACAAAACAAAAATAAGTAGACACTCTGGTAGAGAGTTGTATACTGCATAGAATGTAAAGCCTCAAGAGGCAAATTGTTATTTGTGATAAAGGGCTATGTAAATGAAATTGACTTGACTTAATACTTACACACACACACACACTTTTTGGTTTACATGTTTTACTGAGGGACTCTGAATGCTGAAATAAACGTAATAAATAAATGTGCATGTATTTGTGTCTATTTTTAACAGGCGGACTCAAAGCTGAGGGAAGAGGAGAAACGTGCACTGAGATACCTGGAGACGAGACGTGACTGTAATTCTGTACAGGCAGTGAGTATTACACAGGAGTGTGGGGTGTCTTATTTTGCTGACAATTCTACAGTTTTAACCGATATTTCTACACACAAGAGAAAAGTTGAAACTTTTTTTCATATGTAAATAACAACTTTATTTATTACAGTATTTATTAAATTAATAGTTTAATATTAAGGGAAGTATGCATATTTACTTGATTTTGACTGTGAGATTAATCTAATCAGGTATCAGTGTCATGTCTGTGCACTAAGTAAATTGTATATCGTTTGTGCTGGAACTATTTGTTGGCATACGGTGACTGTAAGCAGCTTGTTGGTGTCTTGTTGTCACAGTGAGATTGCCAGGTTTGATAGCATCTTGTCTATACAGATATCAAAACCTTTGCTCACCAACTATATTTGGTAACCTGTGCAGGAGAAACTGCACAGAAGTGCTGGGTGAATGGATAAACAATTAAGTAATAGTTGCAGCACATAACTCCAATTTACATTTATCTTTGTGTACAGGTGAAACAAATAAGGCATGAGATTGGAATCTCATCTCGCTCTTGGAAAAAGAAATAAAAAACTTGAAGACGTTTCCCAGAATGTTTTATTTTGTGAATGTACTGCACATATCTCCCATATATGTCTACTGGATTGTTTTCCCTCTGTTTATCTTCCCAGTTAATGGAGTGTTGCGTCAATGCACTGGTAACATCATTCAAGGAGACCATCTTAGCCGAGTGTCCAGGCATGATCAAACGAAATGAGACAGAGAGTGAGTACGGCAGGACTGCTCCCACCAAAGGCACAGCCAGCTCAGGTTTGCACCAGGACCAGGAAATAGCCCTAACCAAACTCTCTTGTCCAGCAACACTTGTAGAACATCAATGTGTGTTGCCACCACTCCCCTTAAATAAATGTGTGATGATACACTGAGAATAGTCCATTAAACTTACCTTATAACTCTAAAACCTGCCTTCTTTAAGTAACCCAGTGATAGTTGTCTGTATGTCCATGAGTACATTGCAAACAGGAAGTGCAAATAGCTGATTCTGTATATTTTAAAGGTGCCTATTTGCTAAAATGTAAAAATGACTAAAAGTTCCAAAACTTAGAGAGCATGACTTGGCTTTAATGTGAAATGCTGAAAAACATCTACTAGCTGTTGTTCATTGAAACTCCGTCCACATATTTGCATTTGTAACCTTGAGTTTTTGAGAAAGATTATAAAAATGATAGTTTTGCAATCTTTTATATTCTTAGTCACATTTTGAGAGGGGAAACTCTCTCAGATCAGCAATACTTGACAGAGCTGACAGTTCACCAGAGAGACCGTGGGTCAGTTTAAACATTTTTAATAGTAGTGCCAAAACATTTCAGTGCAAATACCAAACCTTTATATATATATTTTTTAAATATAACCCAAATGTTTTCTACATGCCTGCGTTCAGGCCTGTGCTTGTGCCATTTCATTGAACAAATTGACAGTGCGTCCACAGTAATGGATTTTAAAGTAGCTCATCTTCTGCAAGATTTATGCAGCTGCCAAATATAAACTTAGTATTCAAAACATCAGATCAAGTACTGCTAACACTTGTGTTGCTACACTGAGACAAGCCTGCTACTTACTTACTCTGTAGAGCTTCAACTAATGATTATCTTCATTGTTTATTATATTTGTTAATTTTATGTGATAATAGATTCATTAAGTTTCTTTAAGCATGTTTTTTCATCTTAAGTGTCGTGGAAAATAGTCTGTCAACACTGAAATAATACACGAAACACTGATGGGTTGAAGATTAAAATATGTTGTACAATATGAAGAACATGCATACAGAAGTCAGAGGATGTGTCTCTCTGAATGTTTAGTGCAGTACACTTTGATAGCATGAAAGACAAAGAAGTACATTCTGATTGGCCATCTGACAGAAAATAACTCGTCCAATCATAGTAACACATACAAATACCATGAGCTGAATACGCTATGATCACATGCTGACCAGAAGAACATGAGCTGCTCTCTCCCCTCCCTGGAAGATCTTAACAGTTCCCGCTGCCATAAAAAGAAGGCCAGAACATACTAAAAGATTTATCCCCACCTGAAAACTCTTTTTGAACTGCTGCCCTTGCTTGGGCAGACGTTTCAGGACAATTAAAACACGAACAAATCGATTGAAAAACTGATTTTATCCAGATTTTATCCCATATATCGTTCCATACTTGAATATACAATATTAAGGAATGAATCGTGCAGGGAGATGTCATGTATGTGCGGTGTTTTTTTGCTTTCTTTTTTAAAATATATATATATATTTTTTATTATTATTTTTTATAGCTACTTTTAGAGGCTATTTTATATTTATATACCTATTAGCACTTTAATGATGTTGCACTGATCGGATTGCATCCAATTTCGTCGTACATGTAAAGATTCTATTGTTTTCTACTCTGACATAACCTAAACACATATAAATCACCTGGTTTCTCCTAACATGATATAATCTCACTGTATACATACTAAAAGCACCTATATGGACAAAAACGCATGGGTACAGACAGTTGTACTCAGAGGCCGTACTTAAAATGGAGATGAGCACATGGCAGAGTTTCATGGGTAGTTGAAATAATAAATGATAATCTAATGGGTTAAACTATTTTACTTCCACAGTGTCTCTATGGGTTTATAATCTATGCAGCAGTTACAGTGACCACTAGTAATTTATGTATGAAAGTGATTATGTTGCTTTTGTCTTCATCACAGAGTTGCATCTGATGTTCTCTCTTATGGACAAAGTGCCCAGCGGCATCGAACCTATGTTGAAGGACCTGGAGGAGCACATCATGAGCGCTGGCCTGGCTGATATGGTGGCCTCAGCAGAGACGATCACCTCTGTGAGTGTCACATAAACATGCACTGATTAGGGTGGGAAATTAATGAGTCTTGATGTTAAAAGATTATTCCACCTTAGGTCTTGTTTTTAGGCCATAATTTCTATCAGTTTGGAAAACTTTGTACTCACCAAAGTAATTGCTGAGATGTGAGAACACAATATCATCAGTACAATAAAGTGCAACAGGAGAAGAAACACAAGGCTTTCAGGTGATCAGATTATCTAAACCACTGGCTTCCAACCTTTTCTGTTAGACCCCCACAGCATTTAGCTTACATTTAGCTAACAATTTGTGCTCTATTATTTTAAAATAAGTATTTAAGCTGTTTATCCATAACATTTAGCTTAAGTCAACTGTTTAACCATTAATGTATGTTTACTATGAGTTTGTTTCATCCATTACTTTCAGCTTACTGTTTCAACTTCGCTGCTAGCTTGCTAACTAGTCTTCACACACTTTCAACGTGGGGTGTTCAGGTGACACTGCTGACTCAGTATATGGACTTTTTAAACATTCAAACTCACTGCTGTAGTTTGTTGCCAAATGAGACATTGTTTTCCCATAATATTTTTCTTTCTGTCTTTACTTATTTTTTAACCATATTTATCCCCTAAAATTGAATTCTAAATGGACTGTACTTACTTTTACCTTAGCAGACAAACTGATTTACATTCCTCTTCAGGCACTCAGCCACTCAAAGAAAGGGCAGAAGGGCTAGTTTTGATAAATCAGTATGAGGGCAATAAAAACATTACCAGACTTCCCTGCGTACTGATGCATCAAATTCATTAAACTGATATTTTCAGGCCTATAGATGCATAATATTTAAGAAATCACATTCATTTCACAAAATGATTTTAAGTAAAGGTCCTCTTACCTACCTTTTTATGGAGCTTTTAAACATACTTTCAGGAATCGGCTAATGAAGATTGTGACATGTTGTTGAGAGCTCCAGAAAAAGCTAGGAAGTGGACCTTGAGCTAAAATTATTTTTATCAAACCACTATTTCCCAACTCCTATTTCCAAGGTAAAGAATGATCTTTGACGTTCATCACATTTGATCAGTTACGCCATCTGTTCTTTGTTGCAGGACTCAGAGAAATATGTGGAGCAGCTGCTCACCTTGTTTAACCGCTTTAGTCGTCTGGTGAAAGAGGCCTTTCAGGACGACCCACGCTTCCTGACAGCGAGAGACAAAGTGAGCTCAACTTTTACCAACTTGTCCTTTAACAATACACTTCTCATTGTAGAATTCACCTGTCAGAAAATGCTCTGTACTGATTGCAGTCCTGTTTTTCTTCTTTGCAGGCATATAAAGCTGTTGTGAATGATGCCACTATATTTAAATTAGAACTTCCATTGAAACAGAAAGGGTAAGGGATGTCCCATGTATGAAATTAAATTTTTCTTTTAATGACAAAGGCAATAATGTCTAACTGCACTAGTTTTCCTTTCCCGTGTTTACAGGGTAGGTCTGAAAACTCAACCAGAGTCCAAGTGTCCAGAGCTGCTGGCCAACTACTGTGATATGCTCTTGAGGAAGACCCCACTGAGCAAGAAGCTCACATCTGAGGAGATTGAGGCCAAGCTCAAGGAAGTGGTATGTTTCAGGGAATCTTTTTATTTAGTTGGTATTATTAGGGCTAACTTTAGTAATTTTTGGTAATAATCTATGTGCTGTGTGCCCTGCTGCAGCTTTTAGTGCTGAAATATGTCCAGAACAAAGACGTGTTCATGCGCTACCACAAAGCCCACCTGACCCGTCGACTCATCCTGGACATCTCAGCAGACAGCGAGATAGAGGAGAACATGGTGGAGTGGCTCCGGGTAAGATCTGGGTAGATGGCTGTACGTTTGTGTATGAGAGTGAGTGAGTTTGTCACTTTGTGACGTCCCGTCATCTGTCCATACTGAGAAAAACTATGTTCTGTTGGAGTTGTGAACGCAACTACCATCTGCCAGGTTGCATTCAGGTGACATTGGCTAGAGCCAACAGTGCGACGCTTACCTGCTAGCTATCTGAGTTATCAAAAGGATAGTTTGGTTCTCCAGATAGCGTGCTTAACTGCAATAGATGCACAAAGTCATGTCAGATTAAAATTGATACAATCAGCACAAACTCATGGACACCAGTGCATGAGCAAGAAGTTTCAAAGTGGACATGTTGATGTGCAGACTGAATGACTGACTGCTGTATTAAAATGCTGTTCCTCGTAACATGAGGGCTATTTCTTCTGTGATTAAGAGCTGTTTGAGATGAACTATTTTTGCTTTGAACTGAGTTACTTTGATACATTTTTTTTTTTTGTAATATCCAAGTTAGCTCATGCTGGACATTTGTTGTTGGACTGCAAAAAGGTATTAAAGTGAGCAAAGTGTGAATATCAAAAAACGACATTTTTTAGTTTATTGTTTTTGTGATTGTTCAACCATGCCCTGCTTTTTAATTTTTTTTTTGCTGGTAATACATTTCCTTGATCCAAACCGAAATTGATTTGCGTGTGTGTGTGTGTGTGTGTTTTCTTAAGGTTTTCCCCAAACGTTAAGTGTCTTTGTAGAGTGTGAGAGTGAGTGTTACAAACATACTTTTGTGTGGGTGACTGTGTGACAATGATTCCTTGTCAGGTTAACCCCTGGCTGGTGCCTAATTAAAATCACTGAAGTTGTGGTAGAAGAAGCCGCCACAACTGTACTTTCTACCAATCTAAAAAGTTTATCAGAAAAGAGTAAGTGCAGCCAAGAAAACAAAAATGGAACTACTTGAGGGGGTAGTCTAACCTGTAATGTCTGTATCCTAACAGGAAGTAGGAATGCCAGCTGACTATGTCAACAAGCTGGCCAGGATGTTTCAAGACATCAAAGTGTCAGAGGACCTCAACCAGTCTTTCAAAGAGATGCACAAACATAACAAGCTCGCTTTACCAGGTAAGAGGTATAACTGAGTTTCTTGAGCTTGGCACTGCCCAAAATGTTAAAAAATCACCTGCCGACACGATCAAGATCATGAAATTAACATGTTATATCTTGTTTGTTTAATCTGTACACAAAAAGAAATGTAAAAAAAGACGAGCCAAGAAATAATCCAGCACACACCCACTTTGCCTTTTTTGCCCTTTTGTATGGATTAAACAAAAGATATATAACGTGTGAGCATTCGAGGTTTTGGCAGGTGAATTTTTTTTTTTAGCTTTGGACAGAGCCAGGCTAGCTGATTCCTGTCTTTATGTAAAGTAGGCTAACCATGTGGTGATTCCAGCTTCCTATTTAAAGTGCAGACCTGAGAAGTGGTATGGATCTTCTCATCTAACTCACAATGATGGGTATTTCAAAAACATCAACCTTTTCCTTTAATTTTAGCTTCTACCCATTGCTCCACACAGACAAAGTAATGACACAACATGACAGAACTTTAATGCTTGTTTTAAATCCTCCTGACAACGAATGTTCACCTGTATAGTTCAAGATTGTAATTTTTCACAAGATTAAGACTTGCCAACTGTAAGTAGTTGTCTTTCAGTAACGATATCTTTGTGTGTTCCCCTGCAGCTGACTCGGTCAACATAAAGATCCTGAACGCTGGAGCGTGGTCGAGGAGCAGCGAGAAGGTTTTCGTCTCTCTACCTACAGAGCTGGAAGATTTGATACCAGAGGTAGAAGACTTCTATAAGAAGAACCACAGTGGCAGGAAGCTTCACTGGCATCACCTCATGTCCAACGGCATTGTGAGTGTAACTGATCTGCAGAGAAACACACAAACATACTCCACATTAGAAGAAGAATCCTTATATCTGTTAAGACAAATGCTGGGAAAGGGACTAATCAAAATCTAATCCCTCCAGATAACCTTTAAGAATGAGGTGGGACAGTATGACCTGGAGGTGACCACCTTCCAGCTGGCTGTGCTGTTTGCCTGGAACCAGAGGCCCAGGGAAAGGATCAGCTTTGAAAACCTCAAGCTAGCAACTGAGCTGCCGGACGCCGAGCTGCGACGCACACTCTGGGTAAATGGACACAAGGCGTAGCTTGATGTTGTAAGACAAATGATGAAGATAGAGCTGGTAATTTGGCTCCATTATGCTTGTCAAAAATTATTCAGCTTACGTTCTGTTTTGTTAATCTGTTGTGGTTTTTTTTACCACTTCCCTCTGAACCATCGTGCCTTTTTCCCTCTCCCAGTCTCTGGTGGCGTTTCCTAAACTCAAGCGGCAGGTGTTGTCGTACGACCCAGTGGTGTCTTCACCAAAAGACTTTGCGGAAGGAACACTATTCTACGTCAACCAGGAGTTTTCTCTCATGTAAGGAAAAGCCAGCATGCCTCTGCCTCCTTCCTAATTCTGTTAGATGTAGAGTAAATTTAAAGGCACAGGAAACTCAATCGAGAATTTTGTAATTCATATCTAACTGATGTTAATTGTGTTGTTGCGCTTGCCATCAGCTCATCAGTTATTTACTCTTAATTTGTTTCTTGGCTTTGAATTTATTTTCAACAAAACCATCCACACACTGGACGTTTCCTTTTGATGTGTGATTCATACGTCAGTCTAAATAGTGTTCTCTTTCAGTTAAAAACCAGTAGCCCTCTGCAACAGAAAGTCTGTATGTACATTGCATCTCTAGTCTCCAGTTCTTTGATACGTAGTGTGTGATTTTCAGCATGGCTCACACAGCAGGTACCTTCATTCATTATTTAAACCTTCTGACACACTTGGATCTATCTGTAACTGTTGACCAGTGCAATGGAAATTATGATAAAAACACTTAAGATAAAACTAGGTAAAAAACAAGCAACTGAATGCAGGATGCGGTGTGGCAGCTCTGTTGTTGGGATTATGTTACGCTCAGCACCAGGTGAGTTTCTCCAAGTAAGCTGTGAAATTGGAGCAATGTGTATTACACAGGTTTATGTGCGTAACAGCATCACTAAAATAACTTCTCTGTGTCTGCCACAAATGAGATGGATGAGGCCGATATAAACACCTTCATCTACATGGCATAGCACAGCACATTAGGATGACTCGTGTTGACTTTGGTTTCAGTGGATCAGGCCTGATGGACACTAGGATACTTCCAGGCTCCCCGTCCTCTTATTTAAAAACAAATCTAATCTTGTGCAGGGAGGCATGAATTAAAGACTGAGACCTACCTATTTACAGGTCACACTGTGAAATTCAGGGCTTGTATCATTCACAGTGCTGTTGAATTGATTTGATATATGTGAAGCAGGTCCCAGTCTTCAGGCGTAACAAATTGATTTTCATGTGAGAACCAACAAACTTAGCATTTATCATCTTGTTGGTTTGAATGTTGTATTTTCATTTCTCGGACCCCTTTCACCAAATCTGCAACATGCAAGCTGCGATTCTTACAAAGTTTTACACACCAAAACAAATGCCATACTTGCGATTCATGCATGAGCATGCAACATTATTATAGAACTGGAAGAGCTCGCAAATCGCTTTTTTGCAGTGAGTCCTGGTCATTGGGTGCTCATCTTACTAAAACATACGGTTTGTGAGTGTGGGGTTTCTCTGTTACCTTTAAGCTGTCTACCTCACATGTCTTTTGCTGTTAAAATCATTAAAGTTTTATAATTCAGAAACTGTTTTAAAGGGGACCTCCACCAATTTTACACTTGAAGGAATATTTTAAATTTTTGGGAAATTGGATAAAAAGATTGATTATACTCTAAAATTTCTGCACAATGTGAAGCTACAACCGACAACTGGTTAGCTTAGCTTTGCTTAGCTTAGCGTAGAGACTGGAAAAGGCGAAGAACAGCTAGCCTGACTCTCAAATTGTTGCCGTTACACTTTTTTTGTATGGATTTGTATGGCCTGTACTGTATATTGACCCCCTGTTTGTTTTTTATTTAAATTTACAGAAAAAACTCAAAGGTTCAGAAAAGGGGGAAGATTAACCTGATTGGTCGGCTGCAGCTCACCACAGAGCGAATGAGAGAGGAGGAGAACGAAGGCATCGTCCAGCTCAGGATACTAAGAACACAGGTATGGAGATGAACTCACAGCATGCAGGTGAAGATATTGCTCGTCTCTCCTCGATTATGCAACATCACCTACTGTGAATAAATAGTTTCACCTTCCATTTCCCATCATTGCAGATGAACAGACACCTGTGGTTATGTTTGTATAAGCTCACAGACTAAAATGTATTCCATCCGTTTTACAGTGCAGTTTCTGTACCATTTTTCCCTTATTTTTCACACCGTTCTCTCCATTTCCAATGTCCAGGAGGCCATAATCCAGATCATGAAGATGAGGAAGCGCATTAACAATGCTCAGCTACAGACGGAGCTGGTGGAGATCCTAAAGAACATGTTTTTACCTCAGAAGAAGATGATCAAGGAGCAGATCGAGTGGCTGATAGATCACAAGTACATAAAGCGGGATGAGACCGATATAAATACCTTCATCTACATGGCATAGCACAGCACATTAGGATGACTCGTGTTGACTTTGGTTTCAGTGGATCAGGCCTGATGGACACTAGGATACTTCCAGGCTCCCCGTCCTCTTATTTAAAAACAAAAATCTAATCCTGTGCAGGGAGGCATGAATTAAAGACTGAGACCTACCTATTTAAAAATAAGTGGAACTTCCTGCCTTAAAGTTGTACAAAGAAAAAAAGGAGAATGCAGCAGTTGCAGTGGGAGTCTTCACCAAGTGGTTATAACTGTTTTTAGTTGGAGGGAGTTTCCTTGCTGTCCAGATGAGGCTGTTAATTGTTAATGGTCTGTTTTTGATGCCATGGTGTGTCATCTGGGTAGCTACTACAACAGTCAATGCTCATGCTAGTCTAAAAGGCATGCTGACAGGAAAAGCTGAGGAACTTTGGATCTCAAAATATCTGCAGTCCAGTTTTAATCCACGTCAAACCCAGACCATCGGAACATTGAACAAAACGCCGTCCTCTTCGCTCAAAGGCGATGCTGCTTTAACCAAGCTACTTGGTTTGCTGCGGGGGCCCTGATGCTGTCTTGGCTCTCTGCAGTCATAGCTAAAGTGATCAAACACTCAATCCGGACATTCAGTGTGTGTAAAGAGCCAGATAAGCACTTCACAGTTTGCAGGACTGAACCAGACGTAGAGCCAGCTCCAACTTCATCAAGCCCTGGGTAAAAAGGAGAATGTGGAGCAAAAATCATATTTCTATAATCCAGAATAATTTCCCTCTACCAAATGTACCCAGGGACAGAGGTGATGTTAGAGTCACACCGGGATTTCAGCTCGTGTTTCTGACAGCTCTCTTTTCTGCAGGAAGCCTGGGAGAAGAGGCTGAGGTCAGTATTACACATGGTAAAATACTACAGCTCAAAGCTAGGAGAGTACCATGAGATGTGAATAATGAAATGATTAAATAAACAGCACCTTAATATTAAACAATACACGCAGGGTTGTCATTCATCCATAATCTTTTTGTTTGTTTGTTCTGCATATAAATGAAACAAGGACTTCTAATGTAGGCTCCTTCTAGTGCCATCTTAAAGCAACTGCTTCAGTGTACTACCAATGATATTCTGTACAGTCACTCAAAACACAACAGAAATCTTGGAATTACTCTAAACCAAGAGTGACCTGGTTGCTTAAATGTAAGTATTTTTATATTTAAATTTTTAAGTTGTAAGAAATTCAATAAAAAGCTACCTTTATTAAGTTTGTGTGTAGTAGAAGATGACAACATTGATATCGCTCTGATATTTGTCTGTTAAATGTAAAGCTACCTGTTACAGCCAGCAGCCAGTTAGCTAGGTGTAGCACAAAGTGGAAACAGCTCTACCTGGTTCTGTCCAACCCAGTGTTAAACTTGAAAGTATCCAGAGTGCTTCACTTTTTTACAAATCTTGTTATGTTACAGTCTTATTGAAAAATGGATTATATACATTATTTTCCTCAAACAAATTTATTAGGAATAAAAAAATGAAAAGCACATGTACGTATGTAAGTATTCACAGCCTTTGTCATGACACTCAAAATTGAGCTCAGCTGGTTTCCACTGATCATCCTTGAGATGTTTCTACAGCTTGATTGTAGTCCACCTGTTCAGTTGATTGGACATGATTTGGAAAGGCACACATCTGTCTAAGGTCCCACAAACTGTTTATGTGCATATTCATTACTACCTGTTTAGATCTTGCATTTTCACATTTTCCACATAATGATTTCCCCTTTAAAAATATGTTAAATAACCAGTAGGCTAATTGTTTGCAATAAATAACTATTCTTTAACATCTGAAAAGGCTGGAAATCCATGCAATAACTGTCCAGATCTCACTCAAAACCAAACATGTTTGAACTGTCCTGACTAGAGGAAAAGTCTGGAGGTCATGGAGTCAGTAGGAACCATGCATGTCTGTACAATATGTTGTACCAATTCATTGACTACGTCAAAGTATTTCACTGGATAAGAGAAAACTTTTACCTGCAGGTGGCACTAGAAGAAAAGTCAGGCATTATCCAATAATCAGGACTTCAGTGGACCTTCAATATCTGACAAGATGAAAAGTCATGAGATCACTAGAATCAGTAGGATTCAATCTCTGGATACCATGACTATCTGTACAAAATTTCATAGCAATAGATAATTTAATTATGTTGAGATCATTTCAAAGCCATGCCGCTAGCGTGGCTAATAACACAAACCAATGGCTACCAGTTCCGATGAAACACTTACTTGAATGAAAGCATAATGAAAATTTTTCTGATACATTAAACAATTATAGCACATCATCACCATGTATGTTTAAGATTTAGAGCTCCATCTCACTAATCCTGGCAGTCAGGTTGCCACTCAGAGTTCTAGTGAACCAGTACATCTAAATGACACATCCCTTCCTGGAGACAAGAGGAGCATTTAATGGTGGCTGATCAGTAGATGGCGTCAGAGCAACACTGCACCAAAACTTGCTTTGAAGAAGTAATAGCAGCAAGTTATGGAAGTGCATAGTGGACTAATTTCAAATTATCATGCAAGCTTGAAAATGAAAATTTAATCTTTGTGTGGGCATTCTAGGACCATATTAAAATAAAAATTAAAACAGCATTTGACATTGCATTTTCAAAGACTTAACCTGCTCTGAAGTGGACATTATTCAAATGCAGTTAGCAAAACAGGTCCCCCGGTGTTTTGCATTTACATGTCCATGTCCTCATGGTCTTTTTAGGTCAAAATTAAAATTCTAACTAAATGAAAATGAGCATTTGACATTTTATTTTCAAAGACTTACTCTGCTCCATAGCGGACTTTATTCGAATGCAATGAGTGAAATAGCGCCCCCAATCTATTGCATTGCATTTACATTTACAAGCAGCTTTCCAAGGGAAACAATGCAAATGAAATCAAGGCGGGTCTTCAGTTAAGACATCACTTCCTCTTCAGTTGGAAGGCAACTTCCTATGCTTGTGGTTCATTTGTGTATCTACTATTACACAACACTAGGCTGTAACTTCACAACCAAATGAAATCTATTAACCGAGCAGCTCAAGGATGGATCTATACCAACTTCAAACTTGGAACCTGTAAGTTTTGCTATTTTTATGTTGTATGTCTTTTTTTTTTTTAACACTTACCTGTTGAACTTGGCCTTAGCATGTTCTGTGGCTAATGTGGCTAATTTTAACATCAGCTGTTTCTAGCATGTGTTGTGACATTAAGCCCACATGCTGTGGCCTGTATGGGTGTCTGTTGCTGCAGTAGCCTATGTAAGTTTACCTGATCTGAATCTGTGTTCTTTGATTATTTCGTTTCAAAACAAAATTGGAAAAACAAAAAGACAAGTCGTTTTTTGTTTTTTTCCGTTTTAAAACTAAAATGGAAAAACAGATAAACAGAAAACAAAAAAACAGACATCGTTTTTTGTTTTAAGGGAAAAGGGAGAAATTGGTGATATTAATATTTAATGTGTCCGATTTGTGTAGCTTTGTGTGTTACACTTAATAAACCTGCAGCAGATACACTTGGTCGATGGCAGTGCCTTATTAAATGTATTAAAGATGAGCTTGAACATCAACATAAGTGGGTTTTTAGTTAGAAAAACAGGAGGCTTGATGTTGAGTTTGTAACTCACTAGCAACTGGGACAGGAACAGGAATGCTTGTTGAGATTGTTAAGATTTCTTCAGTATCAAATCAGTTCAGTGATAGTTGTCAGTACATCAAATTGTACACAGCAAACAGGAACTGTTATTAGTTAGCCTATTTCAGCGAGCTGTATATTAACGAATCATACACAGATTAAAATGTTCGGGTAATCTTCGTTCTTTAGTATATTTAAACAGCACACCTTGCTGGGCTCATTTGGAGTAAAGCTCGGCATTAAAGCACGGTGTGGACGAGCACTTAATGGCAAATACAGAGGTCTTTATTAATTAATTTCAGGCATTGTTTGTTCCCGTTATTATTTTTATAATATGTTGCCATTTTGCTACAATTAGTGTAACGAAGACACATCAGCTACAGCAGCTTCTGTACACTGTAGTGACATGACCTTTTTCTTTGTAAGATGGAAGCATTTCGAAAGTTGCACGGCACTGGTTCCTGGCAAAACAACCCATAGTAGGTCTACCGTGTATTAAACGGATTTAGATGCATGGCACGCGCAAAAAAACAAACTGTCAATTGCTTGGCACCATTGTGTAACCGAACTGCTTACCTTAACTTGCTTATACAACAGGTTTATACCTGAAAGCTTTATCAGCTGGGCAGTGTCAATCCCAGACTAATGCAAACCATTCTCATTCACAGATATACTTCACATTATTGCGATACTAGTTTTAGTGACAATACCGCAGCTCCGTTATACTTAAGGTTATAGGCATAGTCAACTGTCAGTCTGTCTGTCATCCCCATAACTACACACTTGAGATGATATTGAGCTTACTGTAAGTGTTTCCTGCAGACAGGCCAGCAGAGGCATTTCCTTTCAGGCTGACAGAAGACAACAGAGGACTCATCTGATGTTACAGCTTTCGGTTATAGCAAGTTAAGGTATGCAGAAGGTTACACAACTGTGCTAAGTAATTGGCCGCTTGTTTTTTGCACGTGCCATTTATCTATCAGGTAAACTTACATAAGCTACTGCAGCAACAGACACACATACAGGCCACGGCATGTGGGCTTAATGTCACAATACAAGTTAGAAACAGCTGATGTTACAGTTAGCCACGTTAGCCGCAGAACATGCTATGCTTCTATTACTACTACACACACTACTTGACTATTTCCATTTTATGCATTTTATTCCCATTTACTAATTTAGATTAATAATGCAAAGTATAAATCATAAAAAAAACAAAGTTAACCAGCAGTATATAAAGGATGATCTGAGTAATTCTGAGAGTAAAACTATAAAAGTATCAGTGTCAAAATATACTACAAGTACCTAAAATGACAGTTCTCATTAAGCAGAATTGCTCTTTGCAGAATATTACATCACTGTAATGTTTGTCTCCAAAATGTTATGGCGTAAAGGTATAAAGTAGCATAAACTGGAAATACTGTCCCACCTCAATAGCACAGTTGTTTTCTCAGTATTGTAATGTACGGCCAGTACAACAATAATAGAATTATCAGCTGTTTTTAATTGTACAGCATGAACTTTCTTTTAATGTTAGTTAAGTTTTAATGCTCTGCATCAGTATGTCACAGTACATGTTGGCATTCATGGTTCACTCAATGAACTGTAGCTCCCCAGTGCCGGCAGCACTCATACAGCCCCCAAACCATGAGACTCCCACCACGATCCTCACCAGGTTGCCGCCACACACGCTTGACATCATCTGAACCGAATAAGTTTATCTTGGTCTGATCAAACCACAAGACATGGTTCTGATATTTGTGAATTTTACTTCTCAAACAGAAATATATAATAAAAATAAAAATGTCTGTGTTTATTTTTCAGGTCTATCTTCTCAGGTGTTACTTTAATTAGGAGGATAGTTTTTGCATAATTACAGCATATTGCATTCTCTTATTTTTGATAACAAAAGAGGATTACAGCAGGCCTGTTAGCTGTGCACATGCTCAGTCTGAGCAGACCCCCCCCACACACACACACCATGGATCAGTGCCAACATCCTCTGTGGTTGAGCTGAGGATCAATGTCAGGAACTAGTATAGGAAATAAAATACTTCCTGTTCAATCCTTCAAAATAAAACATATTGAGAGCTTCTTTTATACAGTCTGATTGAGGAGTTTATGTGCAGCTATAGGGCTGAAAGCGATATTACAATTTTTTAAATTATAATATTAAAAATGATGAAATTATCTTTTAATTCATCAATAACTTTGTTGATATAACAGATAGAAACAGATTTTTTAGGTCACCAGGTGGAAATGGAAACAAGCTGTATCACTGACTCACTTTTTAAGTTTATTGGTTGCTAAAGCTAACGTTAACTTTGTCTGCAGTGCTGGTGAGAGACCCGGGTTCAATCCCCCACTGTGACCCATCCACCATTGTGTCCTCCTAGTTGTTTCTGAGGCGTGTGACCTCTGACATGTATAGCAATTGTAAGTCGCTTTGGATAAAAGCGTCAGCTAAATGTAATGTATTTCACACATAGTCAATCAACTTTATTTCAGAAATATATCAATAGGCTATATAAAGTGGAGTACAGCTTTAAAATGAGCTATTTTAACATCATCAGAACACATGTAAAATTTGCATGTCAGCATATTGGCTTGTGCATACAATTTGCAACACTGGCGCTGCATATCTCCGGCCAATCTCCTGCTCCAGTCTCCCCTCACTCGTGAACAAGACCCCGAGGTACTTGAACTCCTTCACTTGGAGAACGGACTCATTCCCTACCCGGAGTTGACACTCCACCGGTTTCCTGTTGGGAACCATGGCCACAGATTTAGAGGCGCTAATCCTCATCCCAACCGCTTCGCACTCTGTGAACTGATCCAGTGAGAACTGAAGGTCACGGACCGATGATGCCATCAGGACCACATCATCCGCAAAAAGCAGTGGTGAGATCCTAAGCCCACCGAACCGCAGCCCCTCCTCGCCACGACTACGCCTCGATATCCTGGCCATGAATATCACAAACAGGATTGGTGACAAAGCGCAGCCCTGGCAAAGGCCAACCCTCAACTGAAAAGAGTCGGACTTACTGCCGAGTACTTGGACACAGCTCTCGCTTTGGATGTATATGGATTGGATAGCCCTGAGAAGGGCCCCCCTCACCCCATACTCCTGCAGTATCTCCTGGGGGACCCGGTCATACGCCTTCTCCAGATCTATAAAGCACATGTAGACTGGATAGGCATGCTCCCAAGCCCACTCCAGGATCCTTGTGAGAGTAAAGAGCTGGTCAGTTGTTCCACGACCCGGACGAAAACTGCATTGTTCCTCTTCGATCTGAGGTTTGCAAGTTAGTATGTTCTGCAAATGAAATAGTTTTGCAAGTCGAAAGATTTTCCTTACAACACAGAAAGTTTTGCACGTGAAATAGTTTTGCAAGTTCAAAGGTTTTGCAAGTCAAAAATGGTCCAAATAAGAGTTTAATCTTCCTTGGTTTTAACGATCATGACTCTTTAAGTTAATTCTGATGTCATGTTGCACACCATAGCTTGAGCAGACTCCAAGCAGTTGCTGTAAGCTAGCACTATAAGGAGACAAGTAATTGAAGACAAGTCAATTGTTATTATTTTAAAAAGTCAATTTTAGCAGATTTAAATATTGCACAAAATCATTTCTAGAAATAAAACCGCCAACACAACTTTGCATAAATTGTTTTATTTTGAATGTAGGAGATCACAGCTTCCTGTTGTCGTGCCGTGTACTCCGCGGCAGCTTGACGCTGCTCGGGAGAGGAGAGGAGCTCCGCCAGCGGACCAGGGAGAGCGTGGTGAGGAATCCCAGCTGCCCCAGGAGAGTGAGAGCCGGATCGGCTGGACCCCCGGAGGAGGACCCGAGAGAGAACCACGTTGCCACGGGAGAGGCCTCAGTTCAGGTAACCGTGCCGTGAAACCGGCTCTTACTGCATCCCGGGAAGGCAGGTGCCCTGTAGGGCTGCTGGAGATGGAGGCGGCGGTCGGCGAGCCGCAAGAAGCGGCTTGTTATGTCTCAGGAGATCCGAGATCCTATTACTTACTTACCGTAGCCTTCTGATTTATACGGCCTCTCTGTCCGGGGTTGCTGAGCCGATATCGTGAAGTGAGGGTGGTGGTGAGCGGGAGCATTTATTAAACCACCGTAGTGTACCGTTGTGAAATGCACTATACGTTTTTATTTTGCGCAAAAATAGCGGCATAAACTAGAGCCGCTGCTCCGGCTTTACTGTTTCTACTTGTATGCGGCTTGGGTAGTTTTTCATATCCAGTTGAAGATGTTAATTGGGTATACCAACCGTGGGGCTTTCACTATGTCTTTTAAATAAGGGTATCTTGTTTACATAATTACCAATGTACAGCAAAGATACTGTTGCCATGTGTTCAAATGGGAGCCATATCTGAAAATAACATAATTCAGCATGAGCAACTATGAGCATTCAGGAGCATCCTCATGCTCATAGTTTGGTAACATAAAACAATATATTACTCTGACTAAACGGTAATCTCAGTCATCAATAAAGGCTCCCCTTGGAAGTTTTGGTGTCAGCTGAAATGAAACAGGGACTTGTTTTGTGTGTGTGTGCGCTTGCGTTATATTTTGGACGCCCTTTCCTTTACTGCCTCTGTCTGATGCCGTGGAGCCTGCCTCCTCTGCATGAGGAGCAATAAATTAATAATTTCAGAAGTGTATTGTTCCGCAGAGCACCAAGAGGGAAATGACTGCACATTAATAGTTGATGCCCATGTGTAAGCACCAGTTTAGGCTTCTTGCCAGGTATAATAGTCCGAAAAGTGGAGTCTTGGGACTCCCAGCAGGTCTCATAGGGGTTTCTACAAGGTCTAAAATCACTTTAAACTGTCAGAGAACTTCCAACAGTGGCTGATTTCAATAACAGATTTGATTCTTACTGCTGTTATATTCACATATATAATACAGTCCAATTTAATACTAATATCACGGCAGTAATTTTCCCAGATAGATCTTTAAAATGAATCATTATCAGATAGGCCCAACTGTGATTGATCTGGGGGTCCTTCACTGGAAAACTGATCAGCATCTCCGTCCCTCAACCTTAGTGCACTTCACATAAGATTCCTAAAGATTGTCTCAACCTAATATGTGCATACTCTGCATTATTGTTCAGAGAGAATAAACAATATCCCATGTGACTGAACCAGAAGAAAAGTCAATTACTGTTTAAATGTGACTCCAATGAGTGCACAGCAAACTTATGTCTTATGGTATTGCTAGGGCAAACAAAACTTAGTATTTGCACAGTATCTTTGAGAATAACTGCTCTCCCTTACATAAACAAATCAGAGCAAGCCCATAGCAGGTGATAACGCCATTCAAATCAATCGGAGATCATGTGGTAAGAGGAATTTAAGTGACTAAATCAAGCTGAGTGGACTTTGTAAGAAGAGGAAAATGACTTTCAGTACAAGTGTTGTATGTCATGGCCAAGCCTTCAGTAGCTGGCAGCAGGAAAAGATACTGCAGAGAGGAGATCACGATGCTGGGAGGGATGGGAGGCTGGGATAGCCCTCCTCCCTGATGCAGGAAGAGGGGGTGGATGAAGGATGGTCTGGCGCTCCCTTATTGTGTCTCTCTCCATCTCTCTCTCTCTCCCTGTTATGTGGGTGCATTACTGCTCACTGTTCACTTCTTTTGAGTGTAATCAGTCTGTCAGCAGAAGCAGACTCAATCAGTCACTCCCCCACCAACACCAACCCCTGAACACACTCTTTCCTGATCTCAGACCAGAACACTGCCAGAATCTGCTGCTGCCTGCTGTGCACATTAATGAGGTGTTGCACAGTTTGGTGAACAGTTATAATCGTGAAATCTAATCGGTGGCAGGGTCATGTTTTCCATGACAACAAATCACTGTAATATTCTTTTTGGGGGTTCAAAGAGTAGATGGCATGTAATATATAAATAGCATGTACTTTGTCTCAGATATGTGCATCATTCTTTAATTTCATAATCCTGCAGCTAACGCGCACAGATTAGCCGCTATATAAACAGATGTAATCTCTGGATGTACATTTGTTCATCCTTGGTCTTAGCGTGAGTTAACGTCCCCTGCATGCACACCGCACATCAGTATCGAAACGGTCACTCCAGAGAAACTTGGTAGCCTAGAGTCACTAGCAACAACATGGCAACATCATAACCAGAACAAAACAGTTAAAGTAACAGGCTCCCCCCTGATGCCGGGGAGAGTGTGTAGGGAAAATCATTGTTTAAGTGAAAGCATTTGCACCATTATCCTCTGGTGAAATTGCCTCCTTGGATATAAGTAAATGTGACTTTTTTTCTGATCAATTGATTGGTCAAAAGGACCTGCTGCCCGGAGCTTAACAGTCCATTCAGTGTTGTATCATGGGAGCTGTCCATGGTGCTGCTTTGTGGCAATGGTTTCCAAAGTCTGAGACTGCGGGCCTCCTCTCAGACAAAGCTTGGAATAGGGTGCCCTCTCACCCTTCCTTACTTTACTTGCTTAATTTCAGTCAATCCCTGGATGCCTATGGGATCCTGACTGTGTTCTTTGATCCTATAGACACTTAACATTTGAGCCAAGGTAGCCTAACGTTGCTGGTTGACATATTTTTTAGATCAAATGCATAGAAAGGTCTGTCCTAAGTTTGTTTCCGGGAAAGTGGGAAACCGTAAAATGTATCTCTAAACTATCTCATTAACAAAATCACACACAATTTATGCTACTCTGTCATCTCCTTTTGATAACTAATTTAATATTTTTTCACTTTCATTCACTGAGCCTCCCCTGAAACAGTTCGGAGCCCCATGCCTCACACTTTGAAAACCTCTGCTCTATGGCGTTCCTACACAAATGTTGTCCATATCCTGCCACAATGGCTCTACCACTGCTTTTCCATCTTTCCTTGCTCCACCTATTCCTGATTAACTGCATCATGTATGTTTAGCCAATCAGGACCAGAGGCCGGTTTTACAAAGATTATTCAGACTGGTTGCGTGGGAAATTGTATATATCCCAGTGGAGAATTGAGCAAATAAATGAATTACATGCATTTGTTAAAGGAGAAGGAACAGGGAAGTACTCAAACAATCATCAGTAGTAGTAGTAGAGTACCAAAGAAGTAAAATATAAGTACACAGTAGTAGAGGCATTAAGGTAAAAATCTGTTTTTACCACCACACTGGTTTATGCTCTAGTCTAATGCAGGTAAGACAGTTTAATAAAAATAAAGACTGACTTATTTTTAGCCTAAAAAGTTAGACACCCTACCTCCAGGCTAACTCTGAACCAAGAGCCACATTTTCAGGGGAACAGTCAGTGACACCTGCTGACCAGTGGCACCAAAGGTCAAAAAAAGAGCAAAACATGGCTCATAATTTGTGGTTTGCAAACAATGCTGTGGAGCGACTAATGAAAAAGGGAAAGAGTTTATAGAGACTGTTTGAAAATACGCAGTAGTGAGGACATCGTCAGGCCCAGCCGCTTGTTATTTACCCATCTAGTGCATATAATTTTTTGTATATAACGTAAAGAAGGGAAAGTTCTGGGGATCTCCAGGACAGGAGTGGACACTACTACTCTGTGTAGTACAAACATGAGTGCTGTCCATGGGACTGTCCAGGGTGCGGTGTCCTAATTGAGAGGCTGGATCCTCTGGCAGAATAGTCAATAATGGGATGATAAGGCATGGACCAATTCAAAGTGTCCTCCTAGTGTGTAGAAGCTATGCTGTTTGTTCTTGTTACCAGTCTGGTAACATGGCGCTATCTGGGAAATATAAGTTATTTAATGGACTATTTTGTAGTCATCCATATTGTGTTGGAACAAAATGTCCCAATTTGGACATCAATGAATTCGTTCCAGATATTTAGACTTTGACAGCCATTGTAGGGCATCTTCCTGGTGATACATTTGGAAATGTTTGATGTTGTGGGTTACCGTTGGTCGTCCAAAAAATCATGAGATTTGGTCTCTGTTAGACTGGACCATCTTATTTGGAGTGGAGGAGCATGTTCACCTTGGCTCTTTAGCTCCTCAGAAGGGTTCAACTTCATGGGCTTCATCCTTGAGAGAATCTATGCCTCTGCCCAGTTTGCCCTATGTGGTAATAAAAGGAGTGCTGTTCTTGGTGCTGTCCATGATGCCAGGGTTTATTCTACTTCTCTTTCATCTTCTACCTCAGCACTGCCATCGTGTTCTGTATCTTTTCCTACTTAACCCGGATCTCAGAAACCGTAAGCGACCTACAGCCATAATTTTCAAGATTGGCACAAAATCTCACCTGTCATTCAGGATTATAAAGTTAGTCAGCTAGATGATGGAAAAAACACTTAAGTATTGTAAGTATCGTCTGAAAGTTTTGCAACAGAGACAAAATTTTACATAATCTTTCAACGATCTAATAAAAATCAGTTTTTGAGAACTCTAGACTTATAATTAACCTAACCACCTGTAAATATGTAATTATCTCTCAGAATTGTCAACCTATTTCTGGTACAGTATGTCATATTGTTTAAATGTTATAAGCTAAATTAACTTCTATCACCACTTGCCAACCCATATAATTTTTACGGGAGACTTCCGTTTTTCATTCCTCCCGGGGTCACAATTCTCCCGATTTCTCGTATTTCTTCCCAATTTATGACAATTGTTTTTCTTTATTGCCTTCACTACGGTTTCTGGCGTTTTAGAGCTCATATAAGCCCTGCAATTCTCTCTACTGTTTCCATCCGGACATCTAGCATGCATGTGATGCAAATTGGGATAAAATGGATATGAAAATTTCATATCACGATATTAGTGACCAAAACTATCACGGTTATCGGTATTATCACGGTATTGTAAAAATGTGCCGAAAAAGATTAAAATGTACTGATACACACACTGAAACCATTTCA